AAAACTTTGTTAGCTCAACCATTTATTATTCTCAGCCTTATGGCTTGGTATATAACTAAGCTTCAAAATCTATCTAGTTCAACGGCCTGAAATAAAACCATGCTCTATTGCCCCTGGCAAATATATTCTCCATAGAATCATAGAGTTGGAAGAGACCACAAGGGCCATCGAGTCCAACCCCCTGCCAAGCAGGAAACACCAACATAGGCTACCAACTACAATGGCATCCAAAATTATTTATTTCATTTATATACTGTTTGATGGTAATAAAACCTCAAAGCAGTTACCATATTAATTGCATGTGACATGTAAGACAGTCAACAATTGCTGTCTCCATTCAGATGGGCAGGGTACAATTAATAATTTTTTATTTAAAAACATAAGAGGAATTTTAAACATGAGCAGCAATGATGTACAGTATGTTTCCTGAAATCTGGGAAGCTATTGGTAAAATATACTTAAGCAAACAGATTGTAATCTATTCTTCACAGAAAGCCAGCAGAATCAGCAGCTATCTCATCCTGGTAAAATTTCTTACTAGCCATAGATACGGTGACAAGTGATAAGGCTCCTCCTTTGCCCCAACACCAACACTCTCACATCAGATCCTTTGCCATTCATTGTAGCAGAACGTTAACCTTTCATTCCCTTGCTCCAACTATGTATCTTTCCCAGCAGCCCATTGAAGCCTTTCTTCCAAGTGGAAACTCATTTATACATAAATAGACAATCACAATAATGACAATTAGTGATTATAGCACTGATTAATTTAAAACAAAGTGCATTCTGCTTTAATAGTTTGCATGACCTTTTTCTCCTGATACTGGCTTATCTTGGAAGCAAGGACTTTGCTCAAATAAGAAACCGGGAGATTGGGAGGCATTCCGTATGCAGCATTTAAAAGGAGAGAGATGTCTGCCCTGAAGCTACGCATTCCTTTTACGCTTTAAGAATAATGTGTCCTTCCACATCCTGTTCAAGGTCTATTTTATTTCCTTTCCTTAAGTCTGGAAGGCTGTAATAAGGGATCTCCTTGGCTTGTTTGCTGTAGCATGCGGAAACAATATAATCCTGTCCTTGACTAGACTTTAAATAAATGAGTATTTACCTATATTGGAGGCCCAGCCATGAATAGTTTATTCATATCAGCCAGTATTTCTAATAAGAAGCCTAGCTGGGAGAACAAGTTCAAGAAACCTACTTCTGTCCTTCGTACATGGCAAGCAATTTTCCTGCAATGGCTTTCTATTCCTTGGATAAGGACAGACCAAAGGAGAAAAGCAGGCTTTCTGGATGTCCCTAAACCATGGGTAGGCAAACTAGGGGCCGGATCCGGCCCAATCGCCTTCTCAATCCGGCCCACGGACAGTCCAGGAATCAGCGTGTTTTTACATGAGTAGAATGTGTGCTTTTATTTAAAATGCACCTCTGGGTTGTTTGTGGGGCAAAGGAATTCGTTCATTTTTTTTTTTCAAAATATAGTCCAGCCCCCCACAAAGTCTGAGGGACAGTGGACCAGCCCCCTGCCGAAAAAGTTTGCTGACCCCTGCAAACCACACCAGTGAAAACATTTAGGAAACCTCTGAAATAAAGAATATAAAAAGATGTGTTAAAGGATCAGTAAAAGGATATCTATATACCTTTTAAGCAAGAGCACACACAGAGTACTGTTATCGGCTGAGGTGGGGGCTAAACCCTGGAAATTAATAAATGATAGGATTTTGATTACTTGGAGTATTGAAGGGAAGATTGGAGGCCAGTGGGAAAGTACAGACTAAGCTTTCTGTCCAAGCCAGGGCCTCACCTGGGATAGAGGCATTAACATTATAAAAGGAGTTTGTGGCCCATCAGAGAGCCTGGACCTGGCAGACAGAGGTTGCCATGGTGATGGGATGTGGATTCGAACATCCACACAGGAAAAGAGAGTCTTTAGAGCAAGGTGTACTGGGAAGAAGGAGAAACAGAAGGAGGAGGAGAAAAAGAAGGAGACTGGGATCCATCTCAGGCAGGCTGGCTGAAAGCTGGCTGCCGTTTTAAATTCTAAAATAGAGAAAACAAACATCTGTGACTGTATAAAATAGAACATTCACAAGCAGAAAAAGGTGATGGGAAACTGGAAATAAACACACACACAATGCCTTGATAAACAACATCAAAAATACTCTGCGCATGTACAGTTCCACATTTTAAAAACTGACTTTACCCATCATTACTTTTCCTCACTTACTGCCTTGTGGCCACTCGGCCTACCTCACATGGCTGATGTGAAGAAGTAGGAGTCCTTAACATGACTGAAAAGGCAGACTTAGCGCTTGTATTGTAAGCGTCAAATTTTATTTCCTTCAATCAGAGTAACATCTATGTTCTATAAAACGGATATGTTTTCCGCCACTCCAATTAGCACAGCTTCAAGGCTAAGCCCTGGTTGCCTCAATGGACCAGCCTGCAGTGCTCAATGGGAAATTTCCTGAATGGTGACATAGTAAAAATGGCAGTTCCAACTCAGACACCAATAACTTTCTCACCATAGAGTTGGTTGCTCATCACTGTGCCATTTACTAATGCTTCTCTCCTCACAAAATGGTGGGCTGCAGAGGATTGCTCTCCAAGTGTTAAGGCTTAGAACAGCCCACCACAGGGTAATTTCCCACATGTCTGAGGGAAGGAGCATTTTGTGGGTTGAATATCTCCCCTCCCCACTGTCTATGCATCAAGACTGTTCAATTATCACCTAACCCAAAGCTTCATTCCTTGTGCCCCAGAAGAGGCAAAAATTACAACATTTTGTTTGCTTTCTTTGGTTGCCCCAGAAAAAGCTGATAACAAGCTGCAGCTGAGGTTCAGTGTGCATACATCCAGCTTGTTGGTTTAACTTACACATAAATACACAGTAGGCAAAGATGTGCCTCGGGGCATGGACAATTGTTTAAATTGGACAGCAAATTCCTGCTGCATACATTCCATTACACTGCTGTTTACCAAGAAAGGAGGTGAATTTTCATCGGCCAGTAAAACATTCTCAGGGGGGAAATGTAACAAATCTACTAACTCAGCCAAATGGCTGCTCCGATTTTTAGCCTGAGAAATTTATCTTTGTCCTCTCTCTGAGGAGCTTTAACACAGTATGTGAAGCAACCTTGTGTGTGAGGATGTATTCATGTGACTATCATATCCTTCTTCAAAACATTTACTAGGTCTTTTAAAGGCATGGAGCTACAGCGCCCTCCATTGTCAGGACTTCAAAAATCTGCATATATGGAAGTAGATTAATGGTCTGACTTGGATCCTGGCATGAAGAAGTGCATATATATATATTTGAGACTCCCTTGCCTTTGCAGGAAAATAGCATAGAGTATAAATGGCTTCTCAAGGAGCCATTTAAACCTACCCATCTTTGAGAAATACCCCTCACAGCAGAGGGTAGCAAGCAAAGACTTGCCCTGGTACCATGGGGGGGGGGTACACATGTATTAATTTCAGGGCTGGCCCAATGCATTTTGGCACCTGAGGAGAACCGTACAATGGCACCACCACCCTTGGCCAGGAAAGAAGGGGCGAGAGAATATCTATATCAGGAATAAGGGAGCAAGAGTGGAAAGAGACCAGCAGCGCCTCCTATTCACCAAGAGGCTGCTGCAGAGGCAGCATGGTGGGGGCCGCTGAGGTGGCGGCAGATCCGGCCTCCAAGGCGCATGCGGCAGCTGTTGCCGACACTACGGCAGCGGAGGCAGCAGCAGGTGAAACGTTCCTTGAAGGCCGGATCTGCCGCCCTGTGGACTCTGCTGCCTGAGGCAGTCACCTCATGGGTGGGCCAGCCCTGGGGAAGTGTACTGACTGAAAGGAAATGCACATTTTGCTGAGCTACTGGGCAGCATAAGGCTGAGGAGCCGATCCTGAGGCACCTTAGGCCTGAACAACATTCACCAAACACCACCTTGCGGAGACAATCATACGATACCATGGCTGCAGCATTTCCTGCTGGTCAAGTACAAAAATTATTAGAGGAAACATGTGAAACTGCTGTATTTTAAGCACAGAAATCATTGAGCTTATGTATTGCTTTTAGGGAAGCCTGAGGGGAAAAGGAAACCCCAAATCAATAAATAGCAGTCAACTAACAGTGATACTGATGTAGAATATAATGTATCTATTTTCATCTGAGGAATGTAGGAGGGTAGGTCATGCACTGGACTTAGCTCTCGATTTTGAAACTTCCTTGTGAGTTTACTTGTTTGTAGCAAAGGTAAGTAGGAAGGCATTGTCCTTTCTCACCTGCACCATATATTTTATCCAGAGGCTATTGGGACAACTCTCTGTTTGCTAATAGCATTAGCATAACATTGGCATCATTGTCTTTTTAAGATAAAACAGTTTGAAAGCTGTGTTGGTCTTTTTACTGACGGAATCTATAGAGATATTTTTGTATAGGAAATAATAGATGTTCTTGATTGCTTAGGAAATTACACATCATTGTGAAGTAGCTGGACACCAAAAATAATACTTATGACTCATTTTTAGTTTGTCAATAACTCTTCTGGAGCTACTTTTCAGACTGTAAAATAGTAATCCACTTTTGTTTATTAGTATTTTGCTATCATATCCGCACAATATTTGACTTTATCTGTTCTGAACTTTCTATTTTAAATGGTTCACTGGGGTTCTGCTTTTATTTTTGTTGTGTTGTGTTTTTTCACTTTGGTCTATTGTTTGCAGTGTTTAGATATTATATAGATATAATAAACTTTCCCCAAAATTAAAAAATAATGAGTTTAATAACAAACAAAATAAAAAATATGTATCTTCATCAGCTTTCAGGCTTCCCATAGGCAACTGGTTGGCCACATAATACTTGACTAATCGGGCTCTTCTTATGTGCTTATCTTCTCTCGTGCCAATTTGAAAAATATAAATATTGGAAAAATATAGCAACTGAGGTTTTAAAGGAGCATTATGATTTGTAGGCTCCATTGGGTAGGTGTAACAGAACAGAAACTATCTGCATGAAAAGGCTGACAAGCAAAGAGCAAATTGGCCAGCATTCCATGGCAGTTGGGTCATGCTGGCTAGGTGTGATCAATGGCTCCTTTGCCAAGATCTTTTTCAACTGGCTCCTGCTGCATCAACACCAAGAAATAGGTAAGTGACAACATACTGTGAATTAAAGTGGCTGCCCCTCAATGCAGTTTAACCACCCTTGTACCCACAACATAAGGATGGATTTTTCTCTTTCAGCATCTATTTTAAGGTGTGGAGTGCTAATCCCTACTGGTTAAGGGTGAGAACCAAGATGGGTTCATTTTGATTGTGGATGAATTAGTCCAGGGAAAAATTATGAGATCACCATACATATGGTGAGTGGGTTGGAGAGAAAGAAGATTTGAAGTAGCATTTTCACCAGTTTGGTATACTTGAGAAGCAAATAAGAAAGACTTGGAAGAAAGGGGAGGGGTGTGGATTTACATTGGGGTATGTGAGGATAAAGCCCTTGTACCATGTGAAGACAGCTGATCCATTTAAGATCTGGTAAAGATGAAGATTAAGGGTTATATCCAACTATGTCATACTTGGCATTGATTTCTACTTAAATCAATGGATTTTAGTTAGTCATGTCATGATGTGATATCAGTTCACCTGGTTTTAAATGAGATCTTCATTTATTGATTCAAGGACAGTCCACGGCAACTAAATGCAACACGTGCCACATCACTTGCATGCACATATTTTTACAATGGATAGGAAAAGAAATTCTGCCTTAGCCACAATGGGCCCAAACAGTTGGAGAAAGTATTGAATTTTGGAACTGCACAGGTGCAGTCAGTACTGTGACTCACAAAAGATAAATATATTACAGCTCCCTCCCTCCCTTTGTGTGTGAGGGGTGGGGGGTGCTTCCACATTACACATTTAGTGTGGAATTGTTGCACTTTGTTCACTCACCATTTACTGGGCAGCTATATGGTGCCATCATCAAATTGTTGACCACCTGTGCTTTCCTTGTGTTCTTGTCATCTGTTGTGAAAGAACAGCATTGTGGCACAAAACCGGCAGATATCAAATGCCCTAGCTCTACTCTTTGGTCTTTTAAACCAGGTGTGTTTTTGAAGTGTGCTGTGATGTATTGTCAAGTGTCAAATGTTCTTTTTAGGGGATTCCTCAAAGCCCCAGAGCACTTTCTTACTTCCAAGTCTGCCTAGAAGATTCCTAATCTCCGAAAGATTTAGGGATCCCTCTCACCACAGGCTTTAGCTCTGTTAATAATCTTATTCTCTTTTGCTGGTGTGCCATTGGGCTTTTTCACCCAGAACTGCCCAAACCTCCTTCTTTGCACTCTTTAGTCCTTTTAGCTCTCTCGTGTCCTTTTAGCTATTTATAGGTGTTTCCTGAATTATGCACCTCCCTGGGTTCTATCCCAAATGCCCGCTTGTTTTCTTCTCCCACCTCCTTCCACTGTTTTTGTGCCATCTCCACTCCCTGCCACTATCATCACTTTGCCACACCTGCACTTTAACCTTTCCAGTGAGTGTCATTTTATCTCTGTATTCTTGTTTTCTAGCAATTAATGCTAGATGGGATTTTTAAACAAACACGTTTGTGAAATACTGTGTAGAAGTAATAATTATTTTTTAAAATATATTGTTTTCAAGAAACAAAACCCTGACCTTCTGGTCACGACCACTGTTGCAGCATTGTTTGTTTGCCCCTAAAAGTCTTTCTAACATTTTAAAGTGTTTGGCACTCTAAAGGCAAGTATTTACTCATTGTTGTTAAATAATGACATCATTGGTTCTTCTTTTCTTAAAATGATTGATTTTTAAAAATGGGATGGGAAATAGTGCGCTCAGAGAATTTTAACTTTCCCATCCATATAGCCATGTTATACCCACAAGTGCAACAGAACAAGGCATTGTGAAAAAGTACTATACTTGAAGAGTGTGGAAAGTCACTTGTAATTCTGGTTGCAGCTTACAGAACAACAATGTCTGGGTACTGCTAGGAGCCAGCTGTCTCTTAATACCTGGATATCACACTCAGCTGAGTTGAAATATTAGATAAAAAAGGGAATGAGTGAAAAAAGAGACATGTAGGGCATAAATGGCTTGAGGCAGCACAATTTTCCCCATATCTAATGCTTCAAAACCAAGACAATTCAGAAGAGCTTCAGTGCTGAATACACCACCACTTGAAACAGAGGGTTGCATTCCAAGTTACTCATACTTGGAGCTGAGTCATTGAAATTAGGAACATTGGCACCTGCCTTATACCAAGCCAGAGCAATGGTCCATCTAGCCCACTGTTATCCACTGCTAGCACATTTGCAAAGCTAAGCAGGGTTTGGTATGGTTTCAGATTGGATGGGGGGACCATGTGTTGAGATTCCTGCATTAGAGGGGGTTGGACTAGATGACCCTTCCAACTCTACCATTCTTTGATTCTATGATTCTACTCAAACTGGTAGTGGCTGTCTAGGGTTTCAGGCAGGAGTCTTTTCCCAGCCCCACCTGGAAACACTAGGGATCAAACTCAATACCTTCCAACGTGCAAAGCAGATGCTACAGTCTTTCCCCTAATTTAGCTACAGTAATACCTCTGGTTATGAACTGTCCTCCTTACGCACGTTTCGGGTTATGAGCTCTGCTAACCCGGAAGTAGATGCTCCTGGTTGCAAACTTTGCCTTGAGATGCGAGAAGTTGCGTGCCGGAGGTGCACACGCAACGGGAGGCCCCATTAGCGAAAGCGAGCCTCAGGTTAAGAACAGTTTCGAGTTGAGAACGGACCTCTGGAATGAATTAAGTACCAGAGGTACCACTGTATTGGACTAACTTAGGTGCATTTATTTCAATGGGTTTACTCTGAGTAGAACTTAGTTGGATACAATCCAGAATCAGTTGATTTATTCTGCTTTCGTCAGATCACATCTGGAATACTGTGTCCAGTTCTTGGTGCCATAAATGTGGACTCTCCTTTAGAGGAGGTTGGATGGCCATCTGTCATGTATGATCTAGTTCAGATTCCCGCATTGCAGGGGGCTGGACTAGATGACCTTTGGAGTTCCTTCCAACTCTACAGTTCTATGGTTCTATGATTCTACCACCTCACACATGACTGAGAACCCTCTGACAGACATCATTCTGAGTGCCCCTTAACAGCTAGCACAGCACTTATCTTGGCACCGAGGTTCTGGCAGCTGTCCCAATTTCAGGCAGCTACACTGGATCCGCTCCAGGAAGTACGTACGCAATCTCTTTGAAAATACCAATAATGCACATCCAGCTTTAATCCAAGTACATGACATGGAAGGTTATTTGTATAAATCAGCAGCAGAGCTGAAGTATAGTGATCTGAGCTCAACAACTGCAGAAGAGCAAATGCCCAGGACATTTTTAACCTCAGCCAGAGCAGTTGAGGTTCTAAACCAGGGTGATCCAAATAGCAGCGCTCAAAATAAAGTGAGGCTAGTTAATAATATAGAATCATAGAACTGAAGAGCAAGAAGAGACCCTGAGGGTCATCTAGTCCATCCCCCTGCAATGCAGGAATCTCAACTAAAGCATCAGTGGCAGATGGCCAGCCAACCTCTAACCTCCAGTGAAGGAGAGTCCACAGTTATGTGCTCCTAAACTGGTTCAGTCATCTTCTTTTATTTCTGCCAGAATAATTGAGCTTTTGTGAAATTTGCTCCAGAGAAGTGGTGAAGGGAGAAACTATGTAATATAGTAAGAAACTGTGAATATATGCACGAGGTAAGTGTATATGGGGTGGTTTATCTGAGCAGAGATCTTGAAAATGTGGCACATAGCTGCACAGGGCACAGAAACAATGATCCTCATCACCAAAGTATTTTCAGACATTCTCTTCAATTCTACAGCTCATGGAACACCAATAGCCAACACGTCAGACTGCACAAGGCTCCAATGTACACAGAGTCACACCAATCTACACATGAAACCATTCCCTCCTTCCCGTTTCTCTGAGAGAAAACACTGCTGAACACATACAGGCAATGGGATTTATCCATTGCAAGTAGAATATTCCCTGAAGGAGAAAAGAACAGGGCAGCCTTTATTTACCTGAGTTCCTTGTGTGTACTGAAGGAGTGATTCTTAGAAAATAACAATCCTACAGCCTGTTTTCTTCAGTTTTATATACAGCTTCAGACCAGGCCAAAGGAAGAGCTCTCCTTCCACTTAGCATGCTATTCCTCAGATCTGATAGATCTCTGATGTGTGCTGAGGAAACAATATAAGCTAAGTACTACTTCAACCTTCGGGCCTGAGATGGAAAAAAATCCAGTTGAATTATTTTCTGAGCAATCCCCAGGTAGCCCACAGGGCCTGCCAGTCAACCAGGGGTGGGCCAGTTTTAGGGGTTTGGGTTTTTTACCTCCTGGTCACTTGTCAGAAAACTGTGTGTAAAAGCCATAATTTTGGATTGGTTGCCAGGTTTTATTTTAGTTTTCTGTAAAACTGTCATGGTTTGAGAAAAAAATCACCAGCAGGAATTTTACTTGCTGCATAAATCCATTCAAATACAGTAAACAGCCCATATCACTGAGCTCAGCCCAGGATGGCATTTCACAAGCTATGAGAGTAAGAGACTGCAGGTACTCTGCAGCGCTCTCTTTCTCTCTTTCCATACAGACAAGCACAAATTATACTGAGCCCAGTGTGGCAGGATGGGTGGCACTGGACTGGTAGGGGCCGTTATGAAGTTTCTTCATTCACCTGCTTCCATGCACAGGTTCTTCATTCCATACTGGAAGCACACGCTGAGCCCACTCTATGTGCCAGCTCCAGCCACAGCCAGTCAACAGAAAGGGTTTACTACATGGTCTGCTCCTGAGGGCGTCCACCAGGCTCTTTCCCCAGCCGGACCCAGGCTTATAGGTAGAATGGTAACAGAAACAAGATAGACTGCACTCTTCCGGGGGAGACCTTTCCTGGGCCAGCAGGCAGCTCAGATAAAATGTTGCTGCTTCTGATCTTATAGTGGGGCTTGGGTATGGTGCAACCAGCCCAGCCCCAAGCCCAACAGACAGAAGCTCACACCAGCAGAAATATCCCCCACCAACAAAAGTCCATTTGCCTGCCAAAAAGGCAGCCTGGCAGGCAGATTAGGACCTGACAGGCATAACCTTTAAAAGGGATGGGGCATGTCATAGGCTGCTGGATCACATCCGCCAAAGCCTGCTTGGAACCTGATCGTGCCACACAAGAACACGACACACACAATGGATTGATATCCATCTGGGAAAATCAAGCCAGCTGCTAGGAGTCAAGGCCCCTTTGGCCCCCTCAGTAAAATATTTGAGGGGGCTGCCCCCCCCAGTTGATGGACACAGACATTCAAATGGTGTATGTGACCACATCTTGTGATCCATTCCCATATGTACAATGGGCCTCCCCCCCCCCATATTTTATTCAAGTTGGCACCCCGACCACCACGTGTGTTTAGCACCAGGTTATATGGGCTGGAGTGGGTTTGTTATCCCACTGTAACTGCATAGTCCTCTACTCTTGTAAACTCAGAAATAAGGCTGTGACTCCCTGGTAAGCAGGGCCATGTTATTTCGCACCTCCCAAAAGAACCCAAAATTTGCTAACTTCAATTTTCCAAAAAAAGATGTCTTGTAGAAAAAATGAAAAGCACAAAACACTGGAACTGCTAACTGTAGTTTAAATGGCAAGAATACAACAATATTTGATTATGTACAAAATCTTGGATTGTCTACCAAAGAAAACCTTTTAGCACACAAACCATTTTTAATAATCTTGTGAAGTGCCATGTTAGAATTTAAGTCTCTTTAATTACTCAAGTCAAAATCTCACTGTGGGCGTCATTTCCTTGGTCATGTTCAGCTGATATAGTGGCCAAGCCCCCGCTCGCGCCCTCCCCAATTCTGCCATCACTTTGCAGACAGGGCCCAGCATTTGACCCAGGGCAGCGGGCTGAGCCCCGGGAAAGGAGGCCTCATCTGCTCGGGTGAAGCCTGGTGGGCTTCGCTGGGGCCTCAGGCTTCCGAGCCAGGGGCGGGGAGGCGGGCGGGAGCCGGGAGGCTTCAGGGCCTGCGACCAACCACCTCAGCCTCCCCAGCGAAGCCCCAAACAGAGCAGCTGCGCGCCTGATGCGCTCCTTCGCAGCCTTCGGATGCCGCGCTGCCAGCTTTCGTTTCCGCGGCGCCTGTCGCTTTAAGAGGCCGGATCGGGGCGGCGGAGACGCGCGGGCTTTGGCGCGGCGATTGGGCCGCGTCGCAGGAAGGGGCCGGAGAGGCGCTCGGGCGCTGGGCTGTCGTCTCCGGGCGGGCGCAGGGTGAGAGCGGGCTCCCGGCGGGAGGGCAGCGCTGCCTCCGAGCCCCCCCACTCCTGCTCTCCTGCTGCACCGCGCCGCGGCGGCCTTCCTGCTGCGCAGAGCGGTTTCCAGAGCGGTGCCCAAGGCTCGTCCGCCCCCGCCGCCCTGGTCTCCCTGCGCATAGATCTAGACATACATGTGTGTCGCTTTGTGTCTTTCTGTCTTTCCCGGCAGGTTTGCTGGTTGCCACCATGGCCCAGAGGGCCTTCCCGAATCCTTTCGCAGACTACGACAAATCCTTGGCCACGGGATACTTTGACTCTGCGGGGAGGGTGAGTTTTGGTGGTGCTTTAAAGCTTTTTACAGTACTCTGTGGCGGGGAAACAAGGTGGAAGAAGTGGTTTGTGTGATGCTTGAGAGAGTCATAGAATTGTAAAGTTGGAAGGGACCCCAAGGGTCTTCTAGTCCAGCCCCCTGCAATGTAGGAGGATCTTGCCCAACGCTGTGCCCACTGAGCTATTTGCAACACTTCGATTCAGGATTAGTTATAATCGACCTGATCTAATCCTGAAGCCTCTTTTGTTGTCTTATTTTGAATACTGCCCCCTCAGATAGTAATTTCTAACCACCTCACTTTTTGTTTCATCAACAGAGTCACAAGGTGCTTGGTTTCTAACTAGAAATGGAAACCTGCTAGTTTACCTTCCAGAACCATCTGCCCTGTCCTCAGGGCCGACCCACGCGTGAAGCAAGATGAGGTGACTGCCTCGGGTGGCAGGACCCACAAGGGCTGCAGATCCAGCCTCCCGGGAATGCCTGCTGGTGCTGCGGCTGCTGCCGTGGCGCCTTGGAGGCTGGCTCTTCTGCCCCCTGGCGAATAGGAGGAGCTGCTTGTCTCCCCCCACCCTCGTTCCCAGGGTAGATTTTCACTCCCCTCTTCTTCCTTGTCGTTGGGAAGGGGTGCCATTTTCTGGTTTTCCTCAGGTGCCATCATGTCTTGAGCTGGCCCTGCCTGTCTACCACCGCCATTCGGTTCCTCTCTCAAAAGTACCGGTGCTGATCACTCCATTACGGATCCACTAGTGAGGGGGAAATGTGTGTCCCTTAGGGACTGGCAGGCAAGAGTTTTCAAGCTGCTAGGAGGTTTTGCACATCAAGAAGAAAGGCTCTGTCAGATGCATGAGTTAAGCTCAAAAGACCTCTTTGGCTAATGAAGCTAAATCTTAGCCTTGGCTCCTGGATCAGAGAAATGATGTGCTTTAATAGTTCTAAAGGGGTGAAATTAATAAAGATGCAAAGGCATCGGGGGGAAAGAAACTAGGTTACCTGCTGAGTCTCAACATTGAGGATTGGAGCCACTGACTTGATTGCTCTTTAAAGACTAGGAGTGGTGGGTTTGAACTATTCCTCCTGCCCCGTAAGTATGTCGGCATGTGCCAACCTGTATGTGTGCACGTGTTTGCTTACAACGAAAAGGAGGAGTCAAAGGGAAAGTTCTGGTTTCTCAGTGAAGTGTTCAAAGCCCCTTTATCTAAGCCAGGCTTCCTCAACCTCCAAATGTTTTTGGCCTACAACTCCCATGACCCCTCCCAGCGCCAGTGGTCAGGGATGCTGGGAACTGTAGTCTCAAAACATCTGGCCGAGGATGAGGAAGCCTGATCTAAGCCACGCTGGTTTTATTCTCGTTTTAGAAGAAGCCACCATACAATTTCAGTGGAAAGGTCATCTAATCATTTAGCTTCACACTAAGCATTAATCTTGAGAATGAAGAGGCCTGCCTGCATATATTGCTTATTCCTTAATGAATTTGAGATTAGGAACATGGTTTCCATTTTACTACAGCTGCTGAAAAGCTAAGATGAAAAGAATGAATTACCTTCAGAGAAGGGTGTGGCATGAGAACTTGTCCAATAAGCTAGAAATTGTATTTGTTCCGTCACTGCCCCTGGGCATGACACTCTGCATCACCGTTTCAAATTTCCCATAGAGGGGGAAAAATTGCTATAGGATTTTTGGCCAGGGTAGTGAATGTTTATAACATCACTTGGGAAAAAATGTGCTTTGCTGAGTGCCTGTGATGTTCATGAATCCGAACGTAAAGAGAATAATATATTTGTTTTTACAGCATTGCTCTACTGTTCAGAATGGCACTTCTTCCTTTTTAATATCATATCTCTCAAAATAATAACTTTTAGGACATTCTGTTGTCACAACAGTGAGGTAGTCTATATTATGATATTATCAGGATTATTGCAAACAAATGCAATGTAATGCAAGCATTTATTTTTAGGCCTTTTGTGCATGGACCAGCCATTAATTTGAAATCCATACTAGCTGAATTTGAGGCTGCTTACAGGTTGCCTGCATATGATCCCTAATAAAAGTCCTGTTCAAACCACACACACACACACAAACATAGTGCATACTTTCTCCTGTGTCAGTAACGCCTTCCAACTGATAGCATTATGCAGGACTTGCTGAGACTGCTCAGTGGTTGCATCATAAGTTTAGTGCTTGGGGTGGGGGGCGGGGACTGTTAAACTGAATGGACTCGCCAAAGATTTTTGGAAGTGTTAGCTCGGGTCTCTAGCAGGCAGGAGCTACAGCAGTGATCCATCCAATCTTCAAATTTCTCATCAGTATTATTTAATTGACACCACTTCACTTTCGCCTTTGGCAACAGATACATAGATGCTTCAGTGGGGAAGGGCTGAGAGGATCACTCCATTGGGACAGATTGTTCTTAAGGAGTTTTACCATGGCCTGCAAAGTCATTCTGCAAAATTCTGCAAAGTCAGGATTTATTTATATTTTGTTAAAGCGAAAAGGAATAAACAAAACGTTATGGTTCGAGTAGTAAACTTCTGCAGCTCGACAAACCACAGCAAAAGAATAATAATAATATCTTGATTAATGCTTGCCTTATTCAAAAGTGAAATCATTACTTAGCACATTTTCAGAAAGTATGATTAAAAGCAGAATAACTGAGTACAGATGTTCAAAAAATTGTGATATGAATGTGATGGGTCAGCTGTGTTTCACCACATATCTGCTCTTATAAAACAGGGGAATCTTTGTCTCAAAAACTACATGTGGGTGAGTGGAGATGAATTCTCCCCTGCCGTGCCTCCTCCAACTCCCATCACTTCAAGCACTCCCTGCCCCCCCAACCTGCCTCCAGTGCCAGAACTGAACCAAACTGGGAGCCATGTGGGAGAAAGATCAGCCATCCTCTTCCACAAGTATAAAGTAGAGCCCTCCCACTCCCAGCTTTATATGTGGAAAAAGAAAAAGGAACAAACTGCCCCATCATATCTAGTTTGGCCATAGCGACTAATCTTTCAGGAGTTCCTTTCTGTGTTAAGTTCAGCAGTGTGGAAACTCCATCATTGCTGTTTCCTGAAAGTTGGAGATTCCCGTGTTCCTAAGCAGTGAAGGAAGGAGCCACATTGTAGTGGCAATAAAGTCAAGGTTTGAAGACGCCCCAGAACCTTGGCCATTGCTTACTTGGCATGTAAACGCCACCATACATGGGGTTCTCGTCTTTCAAAGTTTTGCGGTGTAGCAATCACTTTCCAGGGCCCCGAGAATCAGAACCATTAGACACAGCAGCACAGAGACGTCATTTTTTGCTACAGTGAACATTTAAAGTGTGCAGGGGAGGCACATGTCCTGATACAGTTAGGGAAATGCAGTGGACTTGGCATAGGGCTTGGCTGACGCCCCCTGGCACCCTTGACTATGCTTACGACAGCAAACACTGGTGTATCTATCCCACAATGTCCCGCGCAGCAACTTAACTTGCAGTAGATATGTGGCAAGTCAGCGCAGACCGTCAAACAGCATTGTAATGTACTATTCCCATACTTTTTTGTCAAACTGCAGTCAACTAGCAGAATCTACTGTTTAGAATTTGAGTAGGCTAGAGGGTCCCCTGAGGGTATAGCACAGCAGTGCTATAGCCTAAAGGTAATAAAGGCATGGATAACCAGGTTACCGTTGGGGGAGAGAATATGGCTTTCAATATTTATGTCTGGGTTCTTAATCATAGTTATTTGGACAAAAGCTTCATTGAAATCAGTGGGGCTTTACTCCCAAGTGAATGAGTTTAGGTATGGAGTGATCGTGAGTAGGGCTTTTCTCGGTCTCTCTCTAATTATTGCTGCCTGAATAATAAGCTCTTTATTTTCTCGAGGTTGCTGAAAGAGATCCGGCTTTCTTTAAAAAGTGCTGAGCGCTTTAAAACACTTATCCCGCTATGCTGTTTTGCTGCAACTTGATAAGCCGCAGTGTGTCTGCTGAGACATAACAACAGTATTTCTCTTAACACTCACAGCTGACTCCTGAGTTCACTCAGCACCTGAACAATAAGATCAGGGAGCTTCTGCAGCAGATGGAAAGGGGCCTGAAGTCTGCGGACCCCAGGGACTGCACTGGCTACACCGGTTGGGCAGGTAGGATGGTGGCACCTGAAAATGTGTGAATGAAATACATTTGCCACTCAGAGAAAAACGTGATATCAGGCCAAAGAGCAGCTGAGGGACACATCCTGCAGGGTAAGAAACTCAGATTTATAAGGTAAAACTATATATAAAACTATATATAAAACTATAAAACTATGTTACGGTCGCCACAACAGAATGTCTAGGTGCCATCCCCCCCCCCCCCGATTTATTTCTGTTTTTCATTTCATTTCTATACAGAGAGGGGGGAAAGTATTTGATCCCCTGTTGGAGATCAAATACTTTCCCCCTCACTGTACTTCTATGTGCAGAGTGGCTTTCTTACCCTCAGGAAACTCTGCCTAGGATTGCAGCTCAAGCATGCATCTTTTGTTGCGAAGGTTTTTAAGCCAATAACTGTTAGGAAACAAATCACATTTAATCTGCAGGGCAGGGTTCACACACACCAACAGCCCATGGCTTAATAAAGCACAACTTTATAAAACCTGGCTTAGCTTTGTGTGAATCATAGAATCATAGAGTTGGAAGAGACCACAAGGGCCATCGAGTCCAACCCCCTGCCAAGCAGGAAACACCATCAGAGCACTCCTGACATATGGTTGTCAAGCCTCTGCTTAAAGACCTCCAAAGAAGGAGACTCCACCACACTCTTTGGCAGCAAATTCCACTGTCGAACAGCTCTTACTGTCAGGAAGTTCTTCCTAATGTTTAGGTGGAATCTTCTTTCTTGTAGTTTGGATCCATTGCTCCGTGTCCGCTTCTCTGGAGCAGCAGAAAACAACCTTTCTCCCTCCTCTATGTGACATCCTTTTATATATTTGAACATGGCTATCATATCACCCCTTAACCTCCTCTTCTCCAGGCTAAACATGCCCAGCTCTCTTAGCCATTCCTCATAAGGCATCGTTTCCAGGCCTTTGACCATTTTGGTTGCCCTCCTCTGGACACGTTCCAGTTTGTCAAAGTCCTTCTTGAACTGTGGTGCCCAGAACTGGACACAGTACTCCAGGTGTCTTGGTTTGGCCTTGTAACAAAAAGTCTCAGATTGGCCTTCATATCAAGGTGCTAATAAAGCCTAGGAATTGGAGCTATTGCACAGTTAAAAAGATAACTCAGTACATGCAAATTTATGCAGCTATAATTGGTTAATTGGCTATGTATTTGGGAGAGTTGTTTGTTCACAGAGCATTTGGACATCTCTTATGATATCATGACCACATTTTGCCTAGATGGTTCTCGAGATTCACAAGCCTTTTTTTTTTTTTTTTTTTTTTTGCCTATGAATACAGTTGGATGCCATTTTGAATCAAGATGGTGGACTGAACCTTTTCAAACTGCCCTTCCGGGTTGGCGCCATCGGCAATGGCGGAATTCCTCTGATCGGGAGGAATTTGCCCCGTGGGAAATTGGGTCTGGCCGCCACGCCGAAGGCTGAGACCCGCAAAAAATCACAGGCGGGAGAAGCCTGTGAACGTGGGATTCGGCGGGCACCCTTTGCGCCTCCCCCACTCGCGGGGAAACCCGGTTTCGGGGGTCCGGAGTGAGTGGCGCGGTGCTTCGAATCGTCTGCTTCTTCCACGGAGCGAAGCCGCATAGCTGTTGCCGGAGAGCGCTGACTTTTTCCTGTGGACAATTTGACTCTAAAGTAATTACCCATGAGTAGAGCTGAAGCGGGAGAATTGGATTTTTAAACGTATAATTTGGTATCGTAACGGGGAGGTTCAACACAGGAAGTCCGCCTTCCCCTTTTGTAAATAGACTGAAGCAATGAGGCTGCAAGCTGAAGTCTTGGAAAGCCTTTTGTAAAAGAAGAAATCCCCACCGGTAAAGAACATTTAACCCCCCCTTGGAGGCAGGAGAAGAGGGGGAGAAGTTGTGGACTGAGTATGCCTGCAGGAGAGAGTGAAGAGAGCTAGAATTCCGCCGCTCTGACCCTGGAAACGGGCTGCTAGCAGGACTGACGTCCTTTGGATGTTCATTGACAGCGCTTAGAACGTTCATTGACAGCTAGCTAAATAAGAGAAATACATTGTTTCTACTGTCTCCGGCTGTTTCTAAAAAGGAGTAAAGTAACTGAAAATTGAAACTAACTTTGGATTGTTTGAACTGTGTTTAAAAAAGGACATTACTGATTAATACAAAATAACATAAATAGAAACTGTTTCCCCCTAGTGGAAGCCTTTGAAACTGATTGCTTTACAAGAGTTGGGCTGGGGGAATTTCCAGCTGCAAGATAAAAAACTGTGAGACTCTGGGACTGACCTTGAATCTTTTAAGTGTTATGGCAAATGGAAAGGAAAAAACAGATCAGCCAACTGCTGAAAAAACATTAAGGTCTGGGAAGATTTGGCAGCAACCCAGGAGAGGTTCAACACCAGGCCCCTCTGCTTCCTCTGCTGCGGCTTCTGCATCAGTGCAACCAAAATCAAGAGGAATGTTGTCAGAAGAGGTTTTAGCGGTTGCATTAGGTAAGATAAACGATTCATTGGAACAGCTTAATAAGAAAGTGGATGTTGCAACGGAAAGCATAAACAATCTGGGACTAAAGGTGAATACCAATACAGAAGCTATCCAGAAATTGATACAGGAATCTACTCTGATACGGCAGACTGCAGAGGAAGCCAGGGAGAAAGCTGTTGCTGCTGAATGTAAAGTAACACAACTGGAGAGAGAGAGAGTCCCAGCCTACAGAGGCAACTTGATGAACATAAGTTGACGCTTGCTGTGATTGAACTTAAAGAAAAACAGGCGAATCTGAGGATTAGAGCCCTACCTGAACTGGAAAAGGAAAGCTTGATAGACTTTCTTACACAGGAATTTGCTGACTTTTGGGATTTGGACTTGGGTCAAGAAGAGTTTAAAATTGTGAGGGCCTTCAGACTTGGAAGAGGAGGGAAAAAAGAGAAGAATAGAATAAGAGATTGCATGATCACCCTTCGAACTAAAGAAGAGAGAGATAGAATTCTAGGTTGGCACTACCAGAAGAACTTAGAAGTACAACAGTCAAGAGTGGAAATTTTTAAAGACGTCCCGAAATATCTTTTGGATCTTAGGCCCAACTACGGAGATATTGTTGCCCTGTTGAGAAGGAATAAAATCATCTTTAGGTGGGAGTTTCCCCAAGGTCTATCTTTCAGTTTCAAAGGAAGGAAAATAAAAATAAGATCAGTAGAAGATAAAGTGAAGTTTTTGTTCAAATACGAAGAAGATCTGCAGAAGGGACTTGGAAAAGAGCCAAGAGCATCGGATAGAAGATCACCAAATAGGGGAATATTGGATATATCAACACTATCCTTTGGATTGGATCCCTCAGAGAACGTGTTACCATTACCACCAACAGAAGAAGAGCAAGCATTGGGTGCAGTTGAAGGAACATCAGCGTAATTACATGATAGATGGTTGTCACCAATGGAAGCGAAGGCACAGAAAAAACTCAATATGGAGGCCAAATGGCCGAAATATTGGGAAATTCTGGAACAAGATGGAGAGAGACTAAAATTGCAGAGTTTTGAAAAATTGAAAAATAAAGTGCGAGATTGGCTCCATTATTACCAAATAATGGAGGCATACAATCTGGACAAAAAAGTTGGTTTCCAGGTGGAAAAATCAAAATTGGAAACAGAACTGTTAGATCCAAAAATCAAGAATTTGTCAAGAATGTATAACTTGCTGTTGAAATGGAATACTCAGGATGAAACGGTGAAATCAGCTATGATTAAATGGGCACAAGATGTTGGACATAATATAATGATGGCTGACTGGGAACAGTTATGGACCACAGGTGTGAAATTCACGGCATGTAATGCCTTAAGAGAAAATTTAATGAAAATGATTTATAGGTGGTACATGACACCAGTCAAGCTTGCAAAAATTTACCATTTGCCCGACAATAAATGTTGGAAATGTAATGAGACTGAAGGTACATTCTTTCACCTTTGGTGGACATCCCCAAGGATTAAGACATACTGGGAGATGATTTATAATGAAATGAAAAAGGTATTTAAATATACCTTCCTGAAGAAACCAGAGGCCTTTCTCCTGGGCATGGTCGGCCAATTGGTGCCAAAGAAGGATAGAACTTTTTTTATGTATGCAACAACAGCAGCAAGAATACTCATCGCAAAGTATTGGAAGACACAAGATTTACCCCCCCGGGAAGAATGGCAGATAAAGTTGATGGACTATATGGAATTGGCAGAAATGACTGGTAGAATCCGAGACCAGGGAGAAGAATTGGTGGAAGAAGACTGGAAAAAGTTTAAAGACTATTTACAGAAATATTGTAAAATTAATGAATGTTAGAAAAATGTTGGAATGAAATTATATGGCTTTATTAGAAATGTTATAAGGAAATAAGTATAAATAGATTAATAGAGTATTAAAGGAAAAATAAGGTTAGAATGTGTTAAGATAATTATAGGATAGAAAACAGAGGAAGATGGAAAGGAATTGCTGAAACAATTAACAGAAGTGGAATACAAAAAGGGAGGTGTGAGGACGTCGTGGAAATAAGTGAATGAAAGATAAGATATTGAAATTGTTTGATTTATTTTAAACTGTTTTTGTTTTGTTTTGTTAGTTTAATGTGTTTAATGTGTCAATGTTATGTAGTGTTTTTGTATTGTATTGTATTGTATTGTTTTTGTAGTGTTTAAATCGTTGGAAAAGCAATAAATATTAATTTAAACAAAACAAACTGCCCTGATTTTACTCACTGGTTTCAAAACTATATCATTTTTTGGGGGTGGGGGATGTGTCTTAGGATTCCTGAGCAATGCTGACTACAAGGCTGCTAGTTATAAATAAAAGCGTAGTTGGGGGAGATTTGTAAATATATGTACTAATTTTTTTCTTTTAAAAACAGTCATCTGCCAGGCATTTTTAAAAATCTGGTTGTTGTTTTTTAATCAATTAAACTGATCAGTAGACAAAAATGTGCAGCCTTCTGGTTTATTGTGGTTTAGTGTGAATCTGGTCTAGTGTTGGGACATGGTGTCCGATCACTCCAACTTTGCTCCTCCTCCTGTGAGCAGTTGAGTTGGCTTCTTGTGATGTATGAATTCAGGATTGTGATTTGTTGATAGCTAATAAGCCAAGGTCCATAAGTCAACGGCAAACCTTGATTTAGGGCTGGGTAGGAACCTTGACTTGGCAGAAACAAACCACGATCCTGCCTTGACGTCTTTTGAAACTGAGCTTAATTGCAGCTTCCTGGATTATTATTCCATGTCTTATCATGAGAAGCAAATGTGCGATTGGGGAGGCATTTATTTACTGTGGAATTGTTAAACTTTCTGCAGGCATCAATTGTAGTGGGAGAAGTGGCTTTGCCACCAGAGAGGCAGAATTGAACTTGAATGGGGCAGAGAAGTGTCTCCACGCTGCTGCTGCTGCTGCTGCTTGATTCTCTGCTTGTGAATTCTAAACTCACATGCCTAACATGTTTGGAATTGAGAGTGAGTCTCTGAAGGATTTCCTCTGGGTCACAGCCAGGAAACTGGAATGTGTTGCTGTTCCAGGGCTTGCCTGCTCTCCACACACCCCACCCAATCCTATTTTTGTTAATTTATTCAGTGTGGTTTCAGGTTATAAGAAATTAATCGGGCCAAGGCAACAGCATTCCATCTTAATTGCTTTTGTGGGAAAGGCTTGTTGAGCATCTCCTCATGTAGATAATCTCCTGGCAATCCGAAATCAATTGGCGCTTGTGTGGCAGCTAATAAGAGATGTTGGGAAGGAATGGTCATGGCTCTTTTCCTCACAATTCCTCCTCTATAAAAGGGAACTGGCTGAGACATGGTGGCAGTGATTTGGCATATGCTGGCGCTGGGCTTCGGAAGCATGTTTTCCTCTGATTGAGTCTTGTCATTAGGCTGCTACCCGGTGCCACCAGGCATCTATTTCCCCCTTTCCTTCACAGATACGGTTTCTGTTACCATCCTTTCAGTGGATGGATGTTCCTTAGCCTCTTCTGGGATCCTATCCCACAGTGGCGTGGCGTGAATTTTTTGTAGGGAACAGTTAGGGCCAGAGGCACCGGCATGTGAGGGCGATGTGTTGCACATGTGAGCATCACGCCTCCTTCCCTAAGCTGGGCAGATGCTTCCTGGGCTTTGGGAAGGAGGCACCAGGCTTTTAATACTCTAATTTACCAGGAACATTTAGGAGACTAGCCAAGTCACCCTAGTCCACTGATCACACGCTACTGCTCTCCCATCCTCTGATGGATGGTAGAGGCACCGATCAGGTATTCCTCCCTGCTCCCAAGTCCCAGCATGCACTGCATGTGTTGGAAAAGAGCAGTTGACAGACCAAAGGTGGATGGGAGCAACTTGCATCACCTGGTCTGTGCTGAGGGCCTTGGCTTTCTGCCTTCAGCCCCTTAACTGGCACAGCAGAAGGTGGTGCTGTTATAGAGTGTTGTGGAAATGATTTTCACCTGTTAAAGCGCCTGGCTTACACACTATATTTGCCACACAAAAGTAGGCCCATCTTGCCACATGAGACGCTGCTTGTTTAGAATATTGGCTAGAAAGCTTCCTCCCCAACAGGAAGGGAAAACTGGACCAGTAAATTCATTTATTGTTTTGTGCCTTTGTCCTTTGATGCTAATTTCCCATGCTCTTCCCCTTCATCTCATATCTTGCCTTGATACAGATGCTTGAAATACCTGAAATTTAAAAGCGTGTTGACTATGGTACAAAATTGTTGTTTTAGAAAGGATTGTGTCTGATCCTTGCATTTCATTGGCAGCAGCATACTTTCTGTGAAGATCAGGAATTAGTTCTTGAATCCAATATTGGACTGGATCACTTTTTATCTGTAAAGCAACAAACTGAACAGCTACTTAAAGCAATCTAAATATTTACATGCCAAGTTGTTTCTTATGCAGTGTCTGCTGCCAAAATAAGATTGCAGGTGGCAAATCCTATTTGCATCTTAAATGAAAATCTGTTTGGTGTCTTATTTAAGTGGATATCTTTATCCGCAGCACAACTTCTTTTGGCATAATATTAAATTATGGTTGTATTGTTTTGGTATTGAGTTATTTTGTACATTCCTTTTGTATTTGTTATGTTTTGGTTTAAAAGCTTTTTATTAAAACAACTATACACAAAAAAGGATGTCACAGTTGGGCAAATCCTTTTGTGAAGCTCTTACTGTGTGGAAACATCTAGTGGAGTTCCTTCTGCATGTTATGTTCCATGCCAGTGTTTGACAGGGAGTCTGGCCTGTTTAAATACAAGAGAGGGGCATGTTCAGAGGAAGTGTAACCCCATCAAGAGCAGGCGAACTCCCATCCATCTGGTCTAGTGAACTGCCCACTAACAGTGCCTCAGTCTTATCTGGACTGAGCTTCAGTTTGTTGGCTCTTGTTCAGTCCATTACCGAGGCAAGACAAAGGTCCACCACATCCACTGCCTCACCTGCAGATGAGACAGAGAGCTGTGTGTTATCAGCATATTACTGACACCATACTCCAAAACTCCAGATGACCCCACTCAGCAGTTTCATGTAGGTGTTAAACAGCACAGGGGATAAAATTGAACCCCAAGAAACCCACCTTGCAGGTTCCTTGGGGCCGAAGAGCACTCCCCACACAAGTAGGACTGGAACCACCACAGAGCAGAGCCATCCACCTCCCACTTGGACAGCTGCTCCAGAAGGATACCATGGTTGAAGGTATCGAAAGCAGCTGAGAGGCCATGGAGAATTAACAGGGACACATTTCCCGTCTCTCTCCTGATAGAGGTCATTATGCAGGGCAACCAAAGCAGTTTCTGTGCTAAAACTGGTCCTAAACCCCAATTGAAATGGATCTTGAAAATCAGTTTCCTCCAAGGATACGTGGATCTGGTCCATAACCACCTGCTCAAGAAGCTTGCCCAAGAAGGGAAGATTAGCAACTGGCTGGTAGTTACTTGGATTTTTTGAATCCAGGGAGGGTTTCTTGAGGAGTGGTTTTATCACTGCCTCCTTCAAGCAGCCAGAGACCATCCCCTCTCATAGACAGGCATTAATTGCCTCCCTGGCTCAGCCAGCTGTTCCCTCCCTGTTAGCTTTTGTCAGCCAAGAAGAGCAAGCATCCAAAACACAAGTGGTTGACCTGACTGATCCAAGCACCTTGTCCACATCCTCAAGCCTCACTAACTGATATAAAGATCAGCAGAGCATTATTAGCCAAGAAAAATTTTAAGAGTCCAGAGGGGCAGCTCCAACGTTTCTAGGCAAGGAAGTTATTGTCGCCAGTTCCCCCAGTCTTTAAAAGATGAGGAATTGCAATGACATTATCGCCAGGTCTTCCTTTAGGCGCAAGAAAAAAGTACTGACCGTTGAGATACTTTCCTCAGTGGCAATTTTGTGCTGCCAGGGCAAGCAACTACTCAGCTGTAGGTGAACCTTCTGTCTGTCAAGGACTCAGTGCTGCAGTGTTTTGCTTTACCAAACTCTAGAAAGGTGGCTGGCTGCTTGCCAGCATAAGGTTTTCCCTTCTTAAAAACAGCTTCAGGTGCACACCTTTGCAGACATGACTGATAGTAGCATACATCTGAGCTGCCCTCATTGGAAATACTAACACTGAAACTGCCTACAGAGCGGACAAGGTTATTAACTTTAGCAAGAAATGGAAATTTGCCCTTAATATACATGCTGAATTGAATTGTCTGTGGTGTGAAGCTTTGGAGATTACCCATGCAAAATGAGAAAATGATCTAAATTTAAAACGATCCCCTGTATATTGAAAGGTAATTTTGAAGGCTGTTCTTCTTTTTCCTTTTTCTTTTTTGCACTGAAATCTGAAGACATTGGCTCTATTAATTTAGGCTTAAATACAGAGACCTGTGTCATCTTAAAAATGGTTAATGAGATGGAAAGCACGCTGCTAGGGATAAAATGAGAATTCCGGAGTTGATGCAAGCCGCTGGCTCTTACTGGATTCACTGAGGGTGGTTCACTGTATGTTCAGCTCATGATTAAACCACACTGGTCCAAGCACTGCTTGAATTTGTTTTTAGATTTCTGCATTACTATTTAAATACCATATTTTTTGCTCTATAAGACTCACTTTTTCCCTCCTAAAAAGGGGAAATGTGTGTGGGTCTTATGGAGTGAATGCAGGCTGCGCAGCTATCCCAGAAGCCAGAACAGCAAGAGGGATTGCTGCTTTCACTGCGCAGCAATCCCTCTTGTTGTTCTGGCTTCTGAGATTCAGAATATTTTTTTTCTTGTTTTCCTCCTCCAAAAACTAGATGCGTCTTGTGGTCTGGTGCATCTTATAGAGCGAAAAATACGGTAACTAAAGGAGCCTAGCTTATTTGGGGCCTTAGCAGCTCCTCCTTCTCCAGTATGGCTGCTGTCAAAAGAGGATTGTTGCTTGGACACCCTCAGAAATACTGCCTTGTTAACTATTTCCATTTATAATGTATATAGCACTTTCATAATTGCTTTGTGCCTAATAAGAAAACTAAGTGCTTATGAAGCATTCTAAGGGTATTCAAAGACCTTCCAGTATGTTAATCTTACTGTAATCCTTACAACAGTCCTGTACATTGGATATGTTCATGTGTGATGCCGACATCGTTAAAACAAGCGCAGTTTAGTAAGCCAACAACAAACCTCAGCTTCAGATCGAGATTTGCTTGCAATAGGCAAACCACAATTAAGCAACTAGGCAGAGTTCATACATAACGCTGAGCCATGGTATAATGAACTATAGTTTAGCATTATGTGTGAACCAGGCCATGGTGAGTTCCTGGAAGAAGTAATGCTTGAACTGTAGGCTTCCTGATTCAGCTCAGTCTTTGTCCACTTTACCAAACCAGCTCTTTTTACAGTCCTGTTCCTCCTTATCCTTGCCACAGTCTTATGAGCTAGTCTTTTGATGGTGGTTTCTTGCCCTATAGTGCAGAACTGGAGCTAGAAATGTGACTTGATGAAGCTGAAGTTTGAAACTGATGGGAAGCTTCAAAAGTGTGTGTGGTGATGGTGCAGGAGACTGAGGTTCCAGTTCAAAGTAGAAAAGTGGTTGTGTCTAAAGTAATGTTCTGAGAACCTCAGCAATTGTCAGTTTCCACAAAAACTACATGCACAAGGAATGTCAGAAATGAAACAGCTGTAGGCATTACACCAGGGAATTACCACAAAATGCATATCTATTTCTCCATTTTAATTTTATTTTTTTGAAAGACACGGCAGCAAATGTTTACAGTCTCACTGGACAACACTTGCATTCACCTAAATGCATTTCTGTATTTCCAGACACCCTGGATAAATCTGCAATTGTCAGCATGCCCATGTGGGTGTCAACAATTGCTGCATTTCTGATCTGCACCAGCGCATAATTGCTGAAATAGATATTAAAATGTTACACAACATCAGAGTTAACTTGGGTTAACTTCTTTAATCTCTTTGCAGGCATTGCTTTGCTATACTTACATCTGTATAATGTCTATGGAGACCCATCCTTCCTCCAGATGGCCCAGGAATATGTCAAGAAGAGCCTGAGCTGCCTGACAAAGCGATCCATCACCTTCTTGTGTGGGGATGCTGGACCTCTGGCAGTGGCTGCTGTGGTATTCCACAAGCTGCAGAACGACAAGCAAGCAGAAGATTGCATTGCCCGGTAATGCCTGAAGGGTATTTCAGCTGATATTCCTCACCACACTAGGATTTATCATCTCAGCCAGGGTAAACTGTAATATCTAGAAAGGAGAAGGCAGTCAAAGAGGTCACTCAAATACCGTTTCCATGAAAACACAATAACTTTTAGGGAGTTCTCCATTCAGTATGCAATACCCATTACTTCAGCCTCAATAAAAGCCAGTGTTTTCTGTTGCCACTGTAACTGATATTGACATAAATTTGGAAAGGGCTGTTAATACACTGCGAAACATTTTGCATTATTTATTTTGACCAAATGGTTTGTCAGGGAAGTGTTGCAAAAGTCACAAATCATATCCATGTCTAACTTCGCAGTGTACTGGGATTTTACTCCCAAGTAAGTGTATAGTATTGCAGCCCAAAGCATCTCTGTCCTAGGTGTGTTCCATCAGGTATATTTTTATTTACTTGCCGTACTTGTATGCTGTGTTTCTGCTAATGCATTCAGCGAAGTGTACAGTTTTAATAGTGGCATGCAATCTAACAGACACAACATGAGAAGAAAAAAGGCTGGAGAGACAATAAGCAAATTCACCCACTGGTTCTTAAATCATGTTACATAAATGTTTATGACTGGGTGGAATGAGCACTTAAGAGACAGTTTAGGCAGCTGGTCCCAGATGGACGTTGCTGCCTCGTCTCTGCATCTTAGATAGCTTATTACGTGTTTTACTGGTATAAATGTATGTATCACTTCAGGTGAACCAGGAGTATGAGAAGAAGAGCCTTGGCGTTGGCTACACATCTTGGCCACAGCCCACCTAATAGAGTTAGGGCACAACACTCCGTCATACTATTAGGACTTGCATAAAAGCCATTGATATGAATAGAAAATACACCCTTCATCAGTTATGCTACTGACTTTGACCGGTATCATTATAGTTCATTCTGTAATTAAAGCTACTTTAAACTTTTTTCCATTTGGGCAACAAATGATGTGCATTGCATGTCATCTTTATATATTCCCCATGTTCGTATTTCCTGTTTTATTCTTATCCACATGGATTTCAATATTCCCTGCTGTTTCCCATTTGTCATGTTGTGTTTCTGCATATTTCAGGTTGTTTTCCTGATGTGGCTCTGGCGTTTACAAAAGGCATGGGCCTGTTATCACTAGAGATAGAAACACATTCTCCATAATAAGAATATTCACTCCAACGCAATCCCACTCTTTGTTTCATTTTGGAAATTACTGGTACTCCTTTGTTCCTTCCACACTTAACCTCAGTTGTGCTACAGAGTGGGAATTTGGTATAATCCCACACTGCCATCTCATGGTATCGTGAGGGTAAGCAGCCATATATCATAGTGTTGGGAAGGGAGCATAAGAGTCCCTTTGGGGAAAGGATGTCTAAAGCATCCTGAACTGGCAGTTGTCAAATATGCATTCTCTTTATTTACTTTTAATGCTTTTATATAGCTGTTCTATAGCAGGAGATTAAAACCTCAAAGGAAGGAGCAACCACGGAACATCTTGATGTGTCGTGCTTTGACTTGCTTTCTTGCTTTCGATCCTAAGCATATTTATTCATCATGGATCTTTTTGCAGCTTGTCCTGTCTCCATCTTCTCCCAACCCTCTGGAGTTTTGCTCCTGTTAGTGGTTGTTCTATTTTGTGTCAGAAAACTGCTACCATGGCCCATTACAATCCACTTTATGCCATCCTCGTACATGATTTTGACTCATTTCTTCTCTGAATCCTTACTGGTATGGATGTGACCATAACATCTAGCATGTGCTCCAGTTGAGCCACCAGCTAGTGCCAAGTATATTGTTAGGAAATACTTCTTACACCTAGCACATAATTATTTTGTTAGATGGAATCCATGTGCACATTTGCCTCTCTTAAAAATAGACGGTGGGATTTTTGTCTCTTCATTTTAAGGCCTAGTTTACATTAATCTTGCTGGAATTTCATTTTTTCCTGAAATGTATTGAGATGCTATAAAAGGAAGTATGTTGGAAACTATGATAAATTCATGTGCTCTCACTGGTGGTTTCTCTTGCCACTGGGCCATATTGAGCAGTCAATGGGGAAGCCTGTCTTTTGGTCAAAAACAGTTCCAGAAGGTCTACCTGAAGGAGTCCCTTGTTTGTCTGTGTGCATTTGCCCTTTCCCCTTATATCTACACTAAAGGCCACTTCAGATTTTACTTTTAGTTAGTATAGCCATACATGTCAGAGTGATGTTTCGCATGTAATTGGCATACAAGTAATGCACATTTACTTGGTCAAGATTAGCATGGTGATTAAGATTTAGGCCTTATGATCAAAAACAGCTGTTAACTTAGAAGACTTCTTTTCTCATTGCTTATTTTGTCAGTTGAAGAGTTCTGTTTGTTTTTAAAAGCTCTCTCCGTGGGGAATCCCTTGTATCCTCCTGATAATTTCATGTACCGTATATTGCAGTTCTGTTTCCTTTTCAAGTTACTGGGACTAGCACTAACATTTACATCCGCCTTCCCCAACCAGGAATTTTCAGAGACATTACATTCCCCTCCCTCCCCCCCTTTGTACAAACTAGTCATAACACAGGCCTTGTTCTCACTGAGGTAGTAAATTTGTGTGCACACTTTACCACTTCAGGTTGCATGGGAGGGGGTTCACATGACTGAATGCTCCTCTAGACAAAAATATCAGTGTGCATAGAAGACAACTGTGTCAGAAAAAGGGTGATAAACTTTGTGGTGTGCCTTTTTTTTAAAAAAAAGAGGAAGTCATTTAGTCTGAAGTGATACAGCCCAGACATGGGTTTACTCGTCTTTGGCCAGAGAGCCCGTAATGGTTCTCATCCTTAACCTAAGCAGATTATCATCAGCATTTTCAGTTTTCAGTAACCATTGGTACCAGCCAAGCTGATGAAGGGATGCTTGTTTCCCCCCACTCCTTCTGTTGCTACAACTATGCAAAATGTTCCTCTGACTACTATATGCTAAGGGAATAAATAGGGGTAGAGAAAGATTTGTTTCCTTCATGCCTCCCTAGAAGCATTTTGGGAAGAAAAGACTGGACTAGGTGGACTGTTGGTCTGAGCCAGCAGGCAGTAGGTTAAAACCACCACCATCAAGGAGTGCAGTAGAAATCAGAGCTAGTAAAAACAGAATCATGCTGATTGTCAAAGGACAGATGTTCTCCATGTGCCCTTTGCCCTGCTTTGCTGAACCATTTTCACTAAGGTTCCTTTCCAGCTTTCTCTTAAATCTGCTGAAGCAGCACCAAGAAGGGAAAATACGAACTGCTGCAACCACTTTTTTGGAACAATGGCTGTTGTCTCTGAGTAAGGAGGGAGGACCACTTTTCTTTATATCTCGCTGTCCGGGACAACAGGAAGAAGCAATACTTTGAGAATTCATTTGCATCTTGAATGATTGGGCTACAGAGCTGGAGAGTTAAACTTAAGGCTGCAGAGGTATCCTCAGCCTTGGCTCAGGAGTGGTTAACAAATGTTTTAATCAACTTTTAAGAAGGTTTTTTTTTGGGGGGGGGTCTGTTTTCAAGCCCTGCTCCCTTACTGTGCATCTGTAGCTAGGAGTGATCTCCTAGCCTTATTCTATTTCAGAATGCCAAACGGCAGGCAGCAAAGCTATCCCCCCACCACACACAAAAAATCTGCTGGCTTTGTCATTGGGAACACAGTTATCCTCCAGAAACTAAAGTCAAAAATAGCCCTGAAGTTTTGATTTTATACTTTATTCACTTGTGATTTGGGGAGAAATTATCATGCAAACAGTATCAGTGTTTAGTGGGTAGAATTCCAGATTTACAAACAAAGAGGAGTAACAAACTTTGTTGTTTAGAATTGTACCCACAAATTGAAAAATGTGTATATCACTGAATTTGTACATCCTGTGTGTGTGTGTTTTAAGATGTATAAGTCTCATGTTTTATCTTTCAAGCTTGCTTCATCTGCCCAAACTTGACCCTCGGGTCCCTGACGAGATGCTCTATGGACGTATGGGGTACTTGTATGCTTTGCTATTTGTGAACAAACAATTTGGAGAGGAAAAGATTCCTCAAAACCATATTCAACAGGTACTGTGCCCATTTCCTCTTCCACCTTAAACTATTTAAACTATTCATCTTCTCTGCCTCCTGGGGGGAGGGGGAGTCCTGTTGTACAAGCAGAAATCCTTGTTCATCTGATGGGATGCGGTAGTTGAATGCTACGCACATTTAGTCCATGATTATTATTTTTTAGGGACTTGTCCGCACTTTTGGGTGCCCCGTGCCTGGAAAACACAGGTCCAAGCGGTTTCCCCCTTGCTCCACTCCTTTCCCAGAGAAAACCCACTCCTTAGCTCTAAATCAGAACAAACACCAGTGTGTGGAAAACATGATTGCTGTTTGCTCCAACTGAGTGCTAAAGAGTGTTCCCACCCCGAGAAAGTGCTGGGGCCTGAGGGAGTGTGGATAAGCCCTAAGTTTGACCTTGACAAACAAAATTTCAAAGCATCCATTTCAGAACAGTAGTCACTTGAGAAAAGCAGAAATAATTGACTGCTTTTCTAAACTGAAAGCTTCAGAATGTTGCCATTGGCCACTTCAGTTTGTTTGTTTGTTTGTTTGTTTGTTTTTGTCATCCACCATTTATTTCTGATTTTCCTGCAGGTCTGTGAGGCAGTCATGGCATCTGGTGAGAACCTAGCCAAGAGACGGAACTTCACAGCTAAGAGCCCCCTGATGTATGAATGGTACCAGGAATATTATGTAGGAGCTGCTCATGGCCTAGCAGGGATCTATTACTATCTCATGGAGGTGAGAGGCATCCTTCAGAGTGGAGGAGGTCCACTTGTCTGTACTGTATGAAACTTCTGATTGATTGATTGATTGATTGATTGAGTGATTGATTGATTGATTGATTTGTATACCACCCTTCATCTGAAGATCACAGGGCAGTTCACTACATAAAAATACAAAATAGAAACACGAAAGACATAATAAAAACAAAATGAAACCATAACCCCCCCCAAACCCCACATTTAAATGGACATAGGATGTTTATCAGCTAAAGGCCTAGTTGAAGTGGAACATTTTCTCCTGGTGCCTTGAAGGTGCCCAGTGAGCCTCCCTGGGGAGAGCATGAGAGCATTTCCCAAATAGGGAGCCACTGCGGGGGTGGGGAGAATTTTCATGTTGCTACCCTCCAGACCTCTTGTTTTGCCCCAGAGACAGAAAATGAGAAAAGACACAAAGTTAGCATATTTGATGCATTGAAAGCTGGCTGAATCAGTGCTTCATCTGTGATTTAACATGGTGCTTGTCTTTTATCTCTCAGCCTGGCCTTGGAGTGAGTCAGGCAAAGCTGCACAATGTGGTCAAGCCCAGTGTGGATTACGTCTGCCAGCTGAAGTTCCCGTCGGGCAATTACCCGCCATGCATTGAAGATAAGAGAGACCTGCTGGTCCATTGGTGCCACGGTGCTCCTGGCGTTATCTACATGCTCCTTCAGGCCTATAAGGTAAGCAGGAGGCTTTGCCAAAGAGAGATGGGCAATAACAGTAAGGAAACCTAACAAGTTTTCACCCCTGCTTACAAGGAGATTGTAATATTTAAATGCAATAACTCCTCTGCCCCCTTCTGAAATGGAAATTAGACTTTTACAAATGATTCCTGAAGACGTCCTTGTCACGCATCCTGAATGCGGGACATTCTTATTGCTCAGAGTTGGCCATGTGTCCTGTTCTGTGGTGATTGACTAATGGTGACAGCCAGTTGTGACTTAAATAATGGCCATGCTCCTTCCATTTATCACTCCAAAAGTCTTTGAAGGTAAGGCAAAGTCACTGTGTTCTTGTCCAAGTTTGTGTGTGTGTGAGAGAGAGAGGCCACTCCTTGATAAAAGAGCTAATTGGCAAAAGTATGCCCGAGTCCTCCCTGTTCCAGTCTCGGATGATGACGCCGCAGGGCAAAACGCTTCTTGTCTCCGCAGGTGTTTGGCGAACAGAAGTACCTCAGCGATGCCTTGCAGTGTGCTGAAGTGATTTGGCAGTGGGGGTTGCTGAAGAAAGGTTACGGGCTGTGTCACGGTACAGCTGGCAATGCATATGCGTTCCTGACTCTTTACAACCTCACTCAAGACATGAAATATCTCTACAGAGCCTGCAAGGTGTGACACACACACACACACACACACACACACACACACACACATATATGAACTTTGTTTGGGATGAGCATGTTTTCTTTTGAGGTAGTCGTCAAAAGCAATTTTTGGATAAAGAAAAGGGCATGCTAACATCCTGAGAAGAAACTAAGCTGTATCCACTAACTGAAGGTTGATCCTAGCACATGACAAAATTGTTTGTGATCAGCCTTCAAATGCCAGCCAGCTAAGGACTCGGGGAGATCCTCAACTTTAGTCATACTTGGAATAGATCCATTAAAATCAATGTACTTAAGTCCCTTGGTTTTAGTGAATCTATTCTGAGTATGACAGATGTTTGATATCACTCTTGGGATGTGGAATACTTTTCTTTTTTTAAAGGCTTGTCTGCATTTTGAAAAGAGCTCACAGGCGGCCCCAAATGAAGATTATTTGTTGCCTCTGGATCATGAGCTCTGAGCAGCCCGTCTCTGCTTCAGGGTTTTCCCCAGATTTAGGAAATCATGAAATGTGATAATAATTGGAAAGCTGGCCTTCACATGTTGCAAAACCTCTGTGCGCAAGGTGCTTCTATTAATGAGTCACTCATATACAGGTCACAGTAATTAAAAGTGCATGACCTGTTTTTCTAAAATGCTTGATATGATGATACTTAAAGTGTAGCAGTAGCTGTGTGAAAAATACGATGTCCCTGTTCCATGTTTCTCTTCCTGCCACCTTTGGCAGATCTGTGGTGATCTATGTCTAATGCTACTCTGCCTCACATCTTTCAGTCCCAGGATTTAATTTGTCCCAGGGCTCACTGGCGTATCAGAGGCATTCTGCTGATTATATAACCCCTGATTATACAGAGGTACTTAAATACAGGATTGTGCCTTAGCCTTCTTAACTTCTTTCTTTTCTTAGTTTGCAGAATGGTGCTTGAGTTATGGGCAGCATGGTTGTCGGACACCAGACACTCCATTTTCTCTCTTTGAAGGTAACCATGTTAAGCTTGTTCCTCCTTAACGATTTTCAGATGTGAATGTATCTACTCCACAGTTCTCCCAGCCCAGAATTCGGCATCAGCTCACTAGAGCATGTGGTTGAAAGTAAGCACATGTGGGGCCTGGTCAAATCAGCTGAAGCACTGTCATTCGAAACTTATACTGAAAAGGAAAACACTGTAGAGCAGGCATCCCCAACCTTCGGCCCTCCAGATGTTTTGGACTACAATTCCCATCATCCCTGACCACTAGTCCTGTTAGCTAGGGATCATGGGAGTTGTAGGCCAAAACATCTGGAGGGCCACAGGTTGGGGGTGCCTGCTGTAGAGGAAGTTAAGTTTGTTACGTCTAGCTGTGGTAGGCCTGGCTTCCCTTGTTCCAGTACTTTAGGCTGAAGCCCCCCATAGCTCAGCTGGATCTGTGGGTTGTCCTTAACATCCAGGGATCTGGGATCCTGCTCCACTTGGATTGCCACTCGCGTTGGCTTTCAGAACCATTGATCGGCTAACTCTCCAGGATCCAAACAAACTTCTAAAGACTTTGCAGGGATTGTTTGGCTGCCACCAGGCTCAGTAAAGAACCACAGAAACCAATTCTGCAGGGTCCGTTGCGTATGCTGCTCTAGAGCTAAGGAAACACCACGTTCCTTATGCTGTAAGTAATTGCTATTCTATGTCTTTTGTCTCCTCAGGAATGGCTGGAACAATATATTTTCTTGCTGACATGCTGGTACCAGCCAAGGCCAGGTTCCCAGCTTTTGAACTGTAAATTCCATCCCAGCATGAAGCTTGTTGCACTTCATATCTTTGGAAAAGGCAGATTAAATAGATTTCATCTCATATCTTGGCTAACATGGGAAAATCTTTGGGGTTTATCAGTATTTTACATTCTTTTCAGTGTCCAATCTGCTTTTAAAAGTTACTAGCTGTTTTATTATGTGCATTGTTTAGGTTTACAGGTAAGGAACAGGGTTTTAAAGCTGGCAAATGCACTATATTTTGTTGGAGTATTTTTTAAAAAAATCCTTGCTATTTTATGTATCTTATTTTGAGGAAGGGAGGCTTTTCCCATTATGAATATATCTTTCTCAGTTTTAATGATAAGGGTGCAACTTGGTTAATGTTTTGGAAATATAGAAGGGATAAAATATATGGAGCCCAGTTGTTTGTTGTGTGTGTGTGTTATCCCTTCTATCTTTCAAATTACATAACATGTAAGAAATAAGGAGGGGAAAATACAGTTGGAATTAAACATACAGAGAAAAAAGGAGGTGTAAATTTGGGTTATTGCATTCATAATCTTCAAGAATAATTATTAATATTGGAGGGTAATAACATTTATTTCCTGCTCCCCCTTGTGTTAAGAGGTATTGTCCCCAGGGTCTTGTGATACTCTCATTTTCAAGCTGGAACCTTGGTGGGGGTTTTTAAGTAGCTACAGCTACAGGACAGGTTGTTCTTGAATAGCAGCAGTGCTTGCTTATGACGTTCTTCAATATCTCTGCAAAGGCTTGTAGCTATGACAGGAATGTACCAAAGTCTCGTCATTCTACTTTTAAGCAAAGGTTCTGTTTACTGCTGCTTGCTTCATCAGCACCCAGTGCATAAGCTTATAACCCCTTGAAGTGATAATGCAGTTTCTTCAGTGAATGCTTTGAGATCTGTGGCAACCTAGTCTAACAGAGATATTGTGCATTTGCACGTGCTACCTCATGTATTTTTCAATCTGCAACAGATTGGAACTAATTTGCATCCTCTATAGCGCATCAGTGTGCTACCAGATCTTTGTGAAAAGGGCTATCTAAACCGTAATTTGGTGTCGGACTGCAACGTGGCATAAGCTTGACTTAATAGTAGATTCTCAAAGTATTCTTAAAAGTGGAAAGTACCCGTATGAAGTCAGGTAGGCAGCAAACCTCAACTGATCTGGGGCTGTGTAAGTGATATGGAAAGCTCAATTTCAGGTTCTGCTTCAGAGGATGACGAGATAGTTGGTCTCGGGGTCCTGGAAAATGCCCAGAGTGCCTGCTGCTCTATTGCTGCTACTATGTTCCCTTTGTCCAGCGTATCCAATATATGATCAGATTTAGGCTAAAGCATTTCTAGGTTTGCATGTCCTGATTCTCCGAGGTTAGGGGGACCCACTGAGGGGGCCTTGCCTGAGAGCCCCAAAATCCTGGAGTCAGCCCTGGTAAGTGTCACTGATAGCTGACTGCTTGGCTCCTTCCAGTTGATTGTTGGAAGCGACTGACAACTCTGTAGTCTTCCCCATCCCATGTCAGCATAAATTACTAGGTTTTCCAGTGTATATTATAATGGAGCAGCTTAAAAATACTTTCAGAGGAGCAGCAGCCAAAGGTTGATTGGGATCTGCTAGTAGATTTGCTGTAGATAAGTAAGTAGATAAGTTTTAATAATAGTTCTTTAATAATAGTAGCAACAAAACAAAACAACTTTTCCCATCTAACTTAATCTGCTGAAATGAAGAAAGCTAACCAGGAGCATTAAAAGACTATGAGCTAACTCTAAGGACAGATCTTTTGTGTCTGCCTCTGGGTTGTAGATTTTTCGGGTTCTAGCAGAAATACAAAGTAGATCTGAAAAACCTGAAGTTTACCCTGTCCTGTTTTAGACCAGTTGTTCTGAAGACGTTTCCATCTCCTTGACTTTCAGGCAAAGCATTTCCACACTGCCTTTTAAACACAATGAAGCTAATTTGCCTGTTGCCAGATGTCACAGTTGTCACAATTAAAACCGCTTTGGACCAGTATCTTGTCTTATATTCTTTCTGAACATCAGCTATGTTGTGAATAAATTAAAATTGCACTTCCAAGGATAGAGATTACAGCCTGCGCTGAACTTGCATCTTCCCTTTAACTATAGATTCCGGGGCCCTCAGAGTATGCAGTGAGTCTCCCCAAAAGGACACAAGCAATTGTCAAGAGTGGCACAGTTTCTCTCTTCCAGCCCAACATGCATTGATAGAGCACAGAGGTACACATACCCCTCTCAAAATCAGTAGCTGCACCCACGTGCACTCACGAAGTTTGTTGTTAAGCCCTTTTATGGGTTCCTGCTTTGAGAACTGCTTCCCTCTATTTGACGCCAGAGCCAAGATGAGAGCAGGCAGTGCCTAGTGCTTGCCTATGTCCTCAGCTACAACTTTATTTTAACCAAGGAGGTTCACCGCAACAGCTTTGGGGAACCTGTGTGCCACAGAGTCACCATGGCTACAGCTTTTAATTTAGAAACATTTGTACCAGCTTATATTTGAATGTTTTTGAAACTGCAGGGGGAAATGGCTCATTGGCTGGAAGCTGTGAGACATTTAATAAAGTTCAACCCTGAAGAATAGACTCTTATTTTTCATCTTTCACGTGCCCATGTATATGTGTGTGCATGCTTATGTTCAATACTCATATCCTAAAATCAAAAATTCCACAAATAAAACAGATTTTAGTTCTTAAAGTGTGGAAAAATTAGCATGCATATTGGGTTTACAGTGAACAAGGGTGATGTGTAATGTTTGTCATACTTAGAGACTGCTTAAACCACAAATTATAATGGGCCTACTCAGAGTATGACAAATGTTGCTTATCACCCTGTGTTATTTGTTATTTTTATAGACTTACAACATGATTACAACCTGCCTATAAATCTCTGTTACACATCTGATAAAATTGTTTAGAGGCGCTTAACGGGCTGCTGCTTCTCCAGCAGGTGGTGCTGCCGTCTGGTGGGTTCTTGCCTCTCATGAGCAAACACTGGGATGCTGTCTTAAGGATAATGTAAACCATTAAAGTCACCAGATTCAAAAATCTGTTAGTCTGTTGAAGCCAAAACTGTGGAGCCCTGTGCCTCCCCCCACACACACACCCTGAGAGCGTCTTGTGAAGTATAAAAGCTGTTCAGTCATGCAACAATTAAATGCTGAGGCTTTCAAGTGCTGCAGGATTCTGCCCCCTTTCAGAGTGTCAGTGTTCCTTGGCTCTTAGGATTTACTGCTGCTGATTTTAAATGGGCCGTCATCTGATTTTAACAGCAGCATGGTTGCAGAAGTTTAGCGTGTGAGCCTTTTCTCTCTGTCCTAGGAAAACCCCTGCTAAATTTATGTGTAACAGGGTCCTTTTCCCCCCCTTGTTGTATAAATAAAAAACTTTAAAAAAAATAACAGGGTCCTTTTAAAGGTATTGAAACAGAATCATTGGGGGGTGGGGAGTGTGAGAGCCTGTTCTGAGGAACTATCATCCCTACTAAGCGTCCCCTCAACCTATATCATGGAATCCTACATAAAGGAGAAGGCAAACAGTGGTTGCATCACACATTTCCATAGTTGTGTGGGTCATTTATTCCAGCTATTTACACCCCATCCTTTAGCCAGAAAAGCTCCTAGGAATAAAGCTTAGGTAAAGGTAAAGGGACCCCTGACCATTAGGTCCAGTCGTGACCGACTCTGGGGTTGAGGTGCTCATCTCGCTTTATTGGCTGAGGGAGCCGGCATACACTTCCAGGTCATGTGGCCAGCATGACTAAGCCGCTTCTGGCGAACCAGAGCAGTGCACGGAAATGGCGTTTACCTTCCCGCCGGAGTGGTACCTATTTATCTACTTGCACTTTGACGTGCTTTCGAACTGCTAGGTTGGCAGGAGCAGGGACCAAGCAACGGGAGCTCACCCTATCACGGGGATTCGAACCGCCGACCTTCTGATCAGCAAGCCCTAGCTCTGTGGTTTAACCCACAGCTTAGGAATAAAAAAAAAATGACAGACCCTGCCCTCAAGCTTAGAGTCTGAAAAGCTTACACAAAATGAAAAAGTGTCGTCATAGCTTTGAGATGTGGCAACTCCCCCCCCCCCATATGTTACAGCAGTCAAGCAGAAACGTTACCAAAATGAAACATTTAGGGTAGGGTATGGCCACAATGCCTTTGCTGAAATGTATGAGAATAAAAGTGCTATCACGTTTGCAAAGCTAAGCAGGGTCCAGTATAGTTTCAGATTGGATGGGGAACTGTTGAGATTCCTGCATTGCAGGGGTTGGACTAGATGACCCCTGGGGACACTTCCAACAATTCTATGAATGCATACCACAAAGGAATACTCTTTGCAAGAAGCATGCAGAGATATGCAAGACTGATAAATCTTCAGATATGTCAGATGGCCAACGTTAACCCTTTGCTTCATAGCAGCTGCTATGTCTAACATTCTGCTCAGACGACTTCTTGAAAATTCTTCTACGTCCCACCCCCCTTGAGACAGACTGAATGGCTGAGCCGCGTTCCACATTCCATGCATGCTATAAGTGCTTATTAGCAACAGCTGCAAACACAAGGAAAAAATGGCAGCACTTTTCCTTATATGGCAAACACCTAAGAGATCACTGGCATCTTTTTTTAGGCAAAATGGATTTATATCAGACTAGTAGGAGGCTAGCAGACCACAGCTTCGAGCACAGAGACTTGGTATCGCCTGCATCTCAAGGCACCTCCGATAACACTGGTATCTGTGGGTACCCCTTTCTTCTTTAGGGCTTTTTGGACATTTCCCCTCACACATTTGCCATCACATGATGGACAGAATGGGGGGCTGCGCTCCCTGACCCTACATGGTGGCATTTTCAAACAAGCCTCTATATATTGCAGGCTGAATGTCTACAATGGGAAACTGTTTCTACTCATTGTAGGCCCTCCGCGTGATTTAACCTCATCCTCCCCTTAAGGGGTTCTAAAGCGTACATAAAGCCCCCCAATATGTGGAGGGGTGCAGCAAGGCCAGGGAACAGGCCCCCACTCACACAATGGATGCCTGAATAGGGCTTTTTGGAGTCAAGAGATCTGTGATGTAATTTTTGCTGAAAACGCCAAAATAAACCAAATACATGCATAATTCAAAGTCTTTGGCTTGATATGTTAAAGCTAAGTCAGACAACAAGCCACCCCCCTGTTAATGTTTACGTAACTTAGGTTTCAAACTATGTCCACAGAATATCTAGCTGGTATTTTTTTATAGGGCCAACAAATTACTGCATTTCAGTATGCCGATCAGGCTAGATCAAAGACATGGTGTGCTTGTACTGCCCTTTATGCTATTCACCTGGAGATAGATATACCTGTTTCAGAATTTCCTTAAAGGTACAATGGATTATTTCAAAATTAGACGGTAGCTGGCTGACAGAGACAAGTTTGTTATCTGTAGGTTTATATGCACTGAGGTGAGAAAGATAATCTAAATTATTTGGGGAACTTTACCATTCTTTGTTTGGATAGTTTGCAGTTCTGCAAATTGTTTAAAGATAAACATATATGTATCCATCTCCAGTGTGAGAAATTTTGCAGATTGCTTAACTAGTCCTCCTTTCTGCATGTCCAGATATGTGAAACCAGAGCTATTTTTCTAGAAAAATAGATGCTGGAGCTCACTATGAATGTCTCCCTTGCCTCTTATAATGGCAATGGCACCCAGTTCTGGCTGAAAAAAAGCCCTGTGTAAAACAAATCTGCACCATCTACAATTTTAGTGACTAGAGAAGAATGGCATATATTGTCAGTTACAATCCAGAAAGCTCATGCTAAAGTCTATGATCTCGATATGCTACATTATATGTGTGTCAACTATTATAAAAGAAGGAAAGGACCCCTGACAATTAAGTCCAGTCGCGAACGACTCAGGGGTTGCGGCGCTCATCTCACTTTACTGGCCGAGGGAGCCGCCGTTTGTCCCCAGACCTTCCTGCCCAAGCGGTACCTATCTATCTACTTGCACTTTTGGGTTTGCTTTCGAACTGCTAGGTTGGCAGGAGCAGGGACTGAGCAACGGGAGCTCACCCCGTTGCGGGGATTTGAACCGCTGACCATTATATGTGTGTCAACTATTATAGGATACATGAAATGCTGTTGTGGGGGGGTGGGATCCTCTCTCTCAGAAGACCCACACATCTAATCTCAAGCAAGCAGCAACATACTCTTCAATTTGTGCAGCGGAATCCAGTCCATTTCTATGCATGTTCTACTGGCTTTATTGTATTTTCCTCTAAAGTAAGTGTACATCAAATTCAGTGCTAAGGTTCTTCTTTACATGCACATGAACTGGGAGCTTTTTAAATATTTAGGTTAGCTGGAAAAGATTGTGCACTGTGCATTCATTTACCCAACTGTTGCTAGGCTGATTTACAGTCTCCTGCTCTGACTGCTTACATAGAAGGCAGCCACTGAGTTGGTTGGAAAAGAATTATGAAGTAGGTCCACAGCAAGAGGTGGCTGCTCAGACCTTGATTCATCTTAAGAGTCTGTAAAGAGTCTGTAAAAATGGTGACATGGTGTCTAGGAGACTGCTGCTAGAGAAAACAAGGATGGTATTTGAGGCTGGCAAAGAAATATGAACTAGCTCTTCTCCCAAAGCATTTCCACATGGCTCAGAAATTTCCGGAAACGGGTACAAGTGTTTGTGCTAGAGGTGTTCACAGCAGCCACAATTTGTTGCAATTTTTGCAGTGACTGTAACTGAAACCACGGGCGATTCCTCATCATCTGTAAATCCATTTGGAGACAGACGCATAAATAGTTACCCTTCAGCATGCAACAGTGTACAGAACTGGAACAAATGTTTCACGACTGTTGCTCTAATAGGATTATTTGAGTTGATCAAATTTCCAGTACAGTCATACCTCGGGTTACAGACGCTTCAGGTTGTGTGTTTTCGGGTTGCGCACCGCGCCGAACCTGGAAGTACCAGAACGGGTTACTTCCGTGTTTCGGTGCTCACGCATGCGCATAAGCGCCAAATCGTGACCCGCGCATGCACAGGCATGGCGCTGCGGGTTGCCGAACACTGTGGGTTGTGAACGTGCCTCCTGCACGGATCATGTTCGCAACCCGAGCATCCACTGTATCTGCTGTCATTTTATTATAAGTGCCAAACCCCTTCCCTCAAGTAATCATGGGAGGAGGAGAACAATCGTATCTGCACATGGCTTTCTGCACCAATTCCCCTCAGGTGTTGTCAGGGGTTCAGGAGCAGAGGCAAGGGCAAGGGAGGAAACAGAGAGCGAGGGGGAGGAGGCAGAAGAAAAGATGAGTGATGACGACGACCCGAGATCTCCGAGTCTTTCCAGTGAATCAGAAGATTCACAGAAAGGAGCACCAGTGGCCAGGGCAAGGGGAGCCTAGGGGACACCCCAGGAAGATAGAGCCAGAGGGGACTCAGAGGGAGCAGTTGGAAATCGGGACCAGCGTCACCGCCAGAGAGCAGGGAAGAGGAAGGGCGCCAGGGATCAAGCGCTGGCAACTCACAACAGGGGGGAGGGCACGAGTCAGGAGTGGCCACACCTCCATCGGGGAGCGAAGAAACGGTCAGACGGAAGGTGGAAGGTTGGGCGCGCGCGCCAAGTTCAAATGCACAGGAAGGTGGCGCAGTAGGCAGCCCGGAAGGGAGCCAGGTCCTAAAGCCCGCCGAAAGGAGGGAGAAGAGTCAGGGGAGTCAGCGTCAGCGTCAGAGGAATCCCGGAAGGAAGAGACCCCGGGAGCAGAGGGACCCAGAGAAGAACAGTCAGGCGGAAAAGGTGGAGCAGGGCTAGGATATTAAGTTGGTGTACAAGGGGCGGAGACTCAGACGGAGCTTCGCCGATCTAACCATGAGACGTAGAGTTGCACGCAGCAGCTTGAGAATGGAAACTGTAACTCAATAAAGACTTTTGTTTAATGATCGCTGGCTAGCGTGATCCTCTGTGAGCTAGGATCTGGAAGCAGCTCTGACAGGTGTTTTTATTTTATTAGGGTTCATCCCAGACAGAGCAGTGTGATTACTTTTACTATTTGCTTCTCTTCCTGCATTGGCTGCAGCCTATTTACCCTCCTCACAATCCACTGTATCATTCATTAATATGCCTTCTTGTATTCTGAGCGCTTGGTATAAGCTTAGCCTTCCAAACCAACAACAGGTTCCTATGAGCATGTGCAGAGTGCATTTCCATCACCACACCAATCCCCACTTCTAGGATTAGGATGCTAGCGCTCACATATCAAAAGTAGGTCTTCCTGGCATGCTGGAGCACATTCGTCTCATTTTAGAAATTAAGTACTACCATGCTCTTAGGAAGAAGAGATGTTTTATGAGTTGAGAAGAGCCAACATGACCTCAGTTGCTCCCACTTGAAATTAATATATATATATACTTAGCCACTGGGCACCTCCTGCCACTGAACTATGCCAGCCGATCAGTATAGGAACAATGGTCTAGAAACTGATGCCTGAGTTTTGAGTTGTATTTTCCTCTTCCCTCCATGTCCCCTTTCCTTTGTGTGTTGTTTGTTTGTTTGTTTGTTTGTTTGTTTGTTTGTTTGAATATAGGCGTGCGTGTAGGGAGTGACTTGTTTTGATTTCATGTTAGCCTGTTAGCTGCTCTGGGAGCCTTTTTGACTGTACAAGGTACAAATGCTCTAAATTAAGCAAATAAACAAATGGTAAAGGTAAAGGGACCCCTGACCATTAGGTCTAGTTGTGGCCGACTCTGGGGTTGTGGAGCTCTTCTTGCTTTACTGGCTGAGGGAGCCAGCATACAGCTTCCGGGTCATGTGGCCAGCATGACTAAGCTGCTTCTGGCGAACCAGAGCAGCGCATAGAAACGCCATTTACCTTCCTGCCAGAGCAGTACTTGCACTTTTGAAGTGCTTTCGAACTGCTAGGTTGGCAGGAGCTGGGACCGAACAACGGGAGCTCACCCCGTTGCGGGGATTCGAACCGCCGACCGATCTGCAAGTCCTAGGCTCTGTGGTTTAGACCACAGTGCCACCCGCGTCCCTAAAACAAATGGTACAGGTACACATTACACAGCTTTTGAATTGCACCGCTCTCAAAAGCTTCCACACACATAAAGTGGCTGAGTTTTATATGATCTTCCACACACATTTTTATACTCTCAGTGATCAAGTCTTAGCAGCAAATGTCTATATCAGAAAATTAGTCAGTAAGGCTGCACACACGTTCCTGCGAGTATGCCCCATTGAATGCAACAATATTTATTTTTTAGTCATATGTACACTGTATAATTTCTTTTTGATCTTAATTCCACCCTTTACAAAAGCTGAGAGTGGAGTTTAAAAATAATAATAATACAGTGGTACCTCGGGTTAAGAACTTAGTTCGTTCCGGAGGTCCATTCTTAATCTGAAACTGTTCTTAATCTGAAGCACCACTTTACCTAATGGGGCCTCCCGCTGCCACCGCGCCACTGCCGCGCAATTTCTGTTCTCATCCTGAAGCAAAGTTCTTAACCTGAGGTACTATTTCTGGGTTAGTGGAGTCTGTAACCTGAAGTGTACCACTGTAATCAATATTTTAAAATATACAGTGGTGCCTCGCAAGACGAAATTAATCCGTTCCGCGAGAGTCTTCGTCTAGCGGTTTTTTCGTCTTGCGAAGCAAGCCCATTGACGGATTAGCGCTATTAGCGCTATTAGCGGTTTAGCGGCTATTAAAGGCTTAAAGGCTTAGGGGATTAGCTGCTAAAAGGCTATTAAAGGCTATTAAAGGCTTAGCAGATTAGATAAAGGGGGGGGAAAGCGGAAAAAAAATCTCAAGACTCGCAAGGTATTTTCGTCTTGCGAAGCAAGCCCATAGGGGAATTCGTCCTGCGAAGCAACTTCAAAACGGAAAACCCTTTCGTCTAGCGGTTTTTCCGTCTTGCGAGGCATTCGTCTTGCGGGGCACCACTGTAAATTATGTTTTTAAAATCCTAATGGGTTTAACTTTAAGACAAGCTTTTTTCCTTCAACAAAACCAGCACAGATCAAGCAACAGAAATCTATCTAGCAATAGAAGAAAAACTAAGTTTCTGGGAGATGCTGAAGCCAGAACATAGATTAGTTTCCACAAGAAGGTGTAGTTTGGACTGAAATAAATTAAGAAGCAATTAACATATTTTTGTTGCTCTGTGTGACAGCTGCAGTCAACCTCTCATTCCTTGGAGCATTTAGTTGCATAAGAAATGCATTGACAAACCCATAGGTCATATTTATATGTATACCAATAAAGCTTTATGTAAAAAAGTACATAGATAAGTTATTTATTATATTTTACTTGTATTATGCTAACAACGGTGTTGCCTTTAGGTAGAGGGCCAGTGGCAAAGTACATGCTTTGATGCAGAGGGTCTCACGTTCAATCCTGGGCAGGTTAAAAGAATCTCAGGTCGTAGGTCCTGGGGAAAGACCCTCCTCCGCCTGAGAAACTAGTAGCTGATGCCAATCAGAGTAGGCAGTTTCCAGATAGATGGATCCATGATGTGACTCTGTGTAAGGCAGTACCATATGTTCACAGCCATTTTAAAATGCAAAATTCCTTTCTGACTTTAAGAATCAAGTTCACCTGCTAAAATAAGCTATGATGTTTAGATGTCTAGATACCTCTTTATTCTTCAGCCTATACAGATTTCATTTATTTCTGCTACGTCTATTCAAAAGTCTGCATAGTCCCAAAATAGCCTGATGGACCATTAGATACTTTCAGTCTGCTTTTCTGCCAGAGACCAATATATTAAAGTTAAGCCTAGCTTAGAGGGGAGTGGACTCCCGTACCTTTAACAGAAGTGGGAATCTCAGCAAGTGTAGCAGCAGCACCTGTTGGAATTTCCTCTTCTGCACAACTAGCCCTGTCCAGTTTTGTATCTGGCCACTATGCTTTTCGTTTTCTGCATTTGGACAAGACTTCTATGTTTTGAATTAAGCCTTCTCACCTGTAATAGCTTCTTTGACTCTGCTCTTTAAGAACACCAGAATCCTCTTGGCTCTCATGGTACGCTTCCTGATCTTTAGTAAACAGTCCAGGCGAGCTTCTATTGGCTATGATAACAAAAAAAATCCTCTTGAATTAATTTGTTCTTATCAGTTTATACTTTTAAACAACAAAACTTTTTTGGGATAATCTGAACTTCTTGCCTTTGCTTCTCTCTCTCTCTCTCTCTCTCTCTCTCTCTCTCTCACACACACACACACACACACACACACACACACACATACACTGTATTTGTTCTTTGGATCCAGTCTCTGGAGTCTGACTTCACCCTGCTCTGAATTGCTGTCTTATTCTTTAAGATTTATAGATCTATATTTCAGTCTAAGCTGTTGTTAGTTTCCTTCTTAACAATCTCTGATCACGTAAGATATATGAGAAGTAGAACAACATTCTTTAGCTACATGCCGCTTGCCTCTATTGCTAAATAGGGTATTGAGGGGGTGGCAATGGGTGTTTAAGGAAGATTAAAAGATCTGCCTTGGAATAGGGCTGCCTTAAGAAATGAAGGGGGCTTCTCGGATTATTTTTGATAAAAACAATAGCTGCATTTCATCCTACATCTTTCCAACATAATCAATGCATTTTTAAAAGAATTGTAGATAATCAACAAGTAGATAAAATAATGTGGGAGAGGCAAGCTCCTATTCTTCTGTAACACATTTGGGGCAGGAGGTGAAGCACCACTACTTTCCATTCTGCTCTTTCTCAAAGAAGACGGGAGCCAAGCACCTGCTTCCCTATGATCTGGTTAAGATTTCTGCTCCCAGACTCAGGAATTCCCTCCTTGGAGAAGTTAGACTGGCTCCCTCCTTTTTGTTCCAACAGGCCTTTGGGAACTGACTGCTTTTAATTAAAGGGCTGGTGTTGTGCTGTTTTTATTGTAATTATTTCACAGAATTAAAGAATTCTAGAGTTGGAAGGGATCCTGAGGGTCATCTAGTCCAGCCCCCTGTAATGCAGGAATCTCAACGAAAGCATCCATGACGGATGGCCAGCCCACCTCTATAAGCAGATGATAGATGTATGGTTTAAACCAAGCATAGGCAAACTCCAGCCCTCCAGATGTTTTGGAACTACAATTCCCATCATCCCTAGCTAACAGGACCAGTGGTCAGGGATGATGGGAACTGTAGTCTCAAAACATCTGGAGGGCCAGATTTTGCCTATGCCTGGTTTAAACAGATGGTTGATAGAGAGATAGATTTAATCCTATCCATGTTTAATTGGTTTTTAATGATTGCTTATTCAATATTTTAGCAATTCTTGTTTTTACCTTTGCTTTGAGTCCCATCAGGGAATAAAAGTGGAACATAAATTTGCATAATGATACACTTTCATCCTGCCTTTACTCAGAACGAAAACAAAATGAGAACAAAACAGTGGCATAATGTATATAAATTTCAAAGCAGCAGAGGTTAAAATACTAAACCAACAGGCACCCAAGCTCTTTGTGATGCGGTAGGAGACATCACCACTACCTATAAACATGATGATAAACCATGGTCTTGCTGAGTGATAAATGGACAAGTACTGGGAAAACTCTAAAAATATATATATTTAAAAATTAGTTTTAGATTTATTTTAAATTTAAAATCCCTACTTATCTAGGCTGCAGAGATAGGAGGCTACTGAAGGCTAGAAATCTTAAAGAACAGAGGCCGCAGAATTACAGTTGCGAAAGGAAATCTTGCCTTCGACACAGAATATTTTCCTGAACAAGGTGGGTGGTGGCTGACCAGATTCAGGCACTCCTGGAGCAAAATAATTTTATAGAACAATTTTAATTAGGATGTCACCCCAGTTTAAGCATGGAGACTGTCTTGATCATCCTATGCCAGGGGTCAGCAACCTTTTTCCGCCATGGGCCAGTCCACTGTCCCTCAGACCATGTGGGGGGGCCGGACTATATTGGGGGGGGGGGGAATGAACGAATTCCTATGCCTCATAAATAACCCAGAGATGCATTTTAAATAAAAGAACACATTCTGCACATGTAAAAACACACTGATTCCCGGACTGCCCGCGGGCCAGATTGAGAAGGCGATTGGGCCGGATCCAGCCCACGGGCCTTAGGTTGCCTACCCCTGCCCTATGCCCTGTATGTTCTCTATGTCAGGAGAGAGAGATGGGGAGTGTAGCTTGGACGTGACATATCAGAAAGAAAATATGGAACATTTATATGGAAATACAGAACTTCTGAGGGTCAATGCACTATTTACTTCTCCATCCTATAATGCTCATTCTAACCCTGAAATCACTGAAGGCAAATATTGAATGAGACTCAAGGAAGACACAGTTCATTTAAATGAGAATTAATACAGTAGAATTGTTTGTTCAGCATTCCAGGGAATAGTCTGAAGTGGAAACTTTTTACAGTAAATGCACGGACTGTAGGGGCCTTGAAGCTGCAAGAATTCAAATTTTCCAAAGAATTACCAGAGAGATTTTATTTTTAACACACGCAGCGCAAGCATGAATGCTGGAATTAGCATCTTGTGCAGAGCTTAATCTTCACATTTTAAACTATCCAGTGAGAACTACCCCACTGGGCCTGTCAGCTAAACTCTTTCCCCTGTGAAGGGTTCTGCATGATGTGAATCATTATTATATGTGTTTTGTGTTGACTGCGGATATCTCAAAAGAAGCTGTGAACAGGTGCTGGCAAAGTGGCTGTCGCAAATTTTCCTGTTACATTATAGTGCTTGCTTACATTTGATAGCCCCAGCGGTACCAGGATTACCAATAAACCAAGGATGATTTGAGGAGGTCAGTTTTTTAAAGAAAACAGAGGAAAGGGAGGAAGTTTTCAGGATTGTTGAAAATGAAGGAAAAACATATCCCTGGCCATCCACAAGCATGCACATTTCTTCAGAGAAAAAGCTGTGTATACATGGATATGCTTCTTTTGAAATTCTTCATGTAAGCTGGTATCTGAGCAAAGCACTTAAGATTCCCAGCACTCCCTGTTTTTAATTTAAAACAAATTTCTAATTTGTATTGTTGGGAAGTAATCCTAGAACACAAACCCTAGTCTTTAAAGTGCCTCAGGTATTAACTTCAGCGCAATGCATACTAATCAATTCTTTCAAATTTTCTGTAATTCCCCCCACCCCGAGTAGAAAACCTTAATTAAAGAAAAGAACGTCGAATACTAGTTTCTTTGCATCTGAATCTGGACTTCTGGGTGGTGCTCTGGTGTCTAGTAAACAACTGCCATGGTAGGAAGGCATTTCTCTTTGGACATGCTATGTCCCCTTGAGAGAGGCTGAGGTGCTGGAGAGTTCTAGAAGGAATGATTTGCATTCCTCAGGGCTGATCGCTTAGAGACACTGATATTGCTTTGAGACAGAATTAGAAAACCTTGAGTGAGAGGGCAATGAGGCACAACTGCAAAGTCAGCCATCCGCTATATACAGCACAGCAGTTGGTGTTCCTCCTCCTAGCGATTGGACACAGCCGCACCAGCCCCACGTCACACAAAGGAAAAAAACATATCCCAAACTATAAGAGAGAAAAGAGGTGCTTTCTTCTCACGGTTTGCTTTTCTATTTGCTTTTTATACACTTCTAACTAAATCTTTTCCTTCTTTTTTGTCTCACCCTCTCTGCTTTTAAGTATAAAATCACTTTCTTTGGGGCTACTTCTCTTATTCTTTTAATGATACATCAGTGTCAATTCTTAACAATTCAGTTTGTATCTGTAAATTACGGTCAGACTTCAATAGCCACTCTTCTGTTCCATGTCTCAGATTCATCCAGTTTATCATGAATGGGTGTTTTTCTCATTGTCTGTGATGCTGCAGGATAGCTCAATCTCAGGGCAAGAAATTCCTGCATTGCAGGGAGCTGGACTAGATGACCCTCACGTTGCCTTCCAACTCTACATTTCTATGATTCTAGTATAAGAAAGCCAACCCATGATGGAATTGTAATTCAGCTAGATTCTCGCGTGGAATAACACAACTGCTACAATGGAAAACATAGTTCTGAAAATCCAAGCTCTATCTTCAAAATAATGTGCTTTTAACAGAAACCAGCAGAAAAAACTTTCTGCAGCATGGAAGTAAACATTAGCAGTTATTTGCAGAACAGGTTGCAATTAAAAGATGCAGGAGCAAGAGCTCATTAGAATGTTTCATAATTACTTTTCCATGTAATGTCCTACTTTACAGAGGACAGTTCTCTGTCTGGAGGGCTGTCTCTCCTCATGGGGAAATTAGAATTCCATGCTGGTAACAGTACAGCAAAACCCCAACAATGATCAACTGCTTGTGTGAAAGCACCCTCATAATCTAAGCCTATGTCATGTTTTCTCAGAAGGAAGCTTCATCATTGTCATCAATGGGGCTTATTCCCAGTTGGATGTGTACAGAATTGCAGCCTCACACAAACAGCTTTTGAGGATGTCAGATGCAAATATTTTCAAAATTCTCCATCAATGACTCATAGCAAAATCCTCTTCATTTCCACTCAGAGTACGCTCAAGTGACCTCAGTGTGACTTACCGGTACTCCCAGATAAGTGTGTATGGGGTTGTAGCTTAAAACCCTTATTCAAAGCAACAAATTATTATTTATAAATATATGTATTGAAAGTAGCGTTCTAGCCAGTGTAAAAGTCCTTAAACAGTTCTGAACATCACCTGTTTTGAAGGAAAGATGTTCAAGTCAGGCTTCTAGGTGACGTGGAAGTGCCTTGTCTGTTCTTGGGAGCACTTCATATTCTCCATTTTTGAGGACAAGAAGTACAGATGTTCAGTTTCCAGACTCTTTTAGTACAGTAATAGTGTTTTGGACAATTTTCAGCTTTCTACCTTCTGTGGAAATACTATAACAATTTTAACTCCAAAGCAAGTATGCAATGCTTCTAATAAGCAAAGTTCCTTTGCCCCAGTTCAGAGAGTTTAGCAGCAAGCCCTATGATGGAAGGAGTCTATTGTCTAGGAGCAGAACATATAAAAAGCCAGCTGCTATGGAACACCCGAATCCTCAGCTGTTGCCTTTGCTTTCCATTACAAGTGAAGTTTGTCAAGTCACACTGCCAGGGATGACAGAGTGAAACAGTGATCATATTTAGTTATTTGCTGTGTTAAAAGCAGAAGAGAAACTCTGTTTCTGTAACACCTGGAAACAGATAAGCCTCTGTCACTGTTCACATTGGACTGTCAGTGTTAAGCAGTTTCCCATGTCTTTCTCCAGTGCAAAGTGGAGCGCTAGCCAGCTTCCCAAATGCCACTCAATGCTTCTGTTTCATGCCATCATAAGGGAAAGCATCTAAATCCACAGCTGTTCATCTTAAGCTTTACATACTAAACAATTGGTGTGAATTCCTCAATGGTGTTCCAATTTCTTTCAGG